AATGACTAAGGGGCAGCCCAAATTTTAACTCATTTCTCTTCTCGTCTTCAAGCAGCAAGAGCAAACGCAGCGGCGTCTCGAGCAATCCGGCAATGCGACTTATTCGCAGCCGCTTCGATTCGGCGGCACAGCTCATTAGACGCACCAATAACATGCTCTCCTCTAGCAGCAATCAGGGCTCATCCAGCATTGGTGTCAAGTCGGGCACCTTTCAGTGGCGCAAGGAGAGTCAAATGTAAACCCAGGGCGACCGAAACAGACATAAACCTGCATACTGAATTATACAGTAGCTCGTATTTGACCTTATTGAGTTTATACTTTATATAAAAAAGTATTTGTTTTTTTGTGATAGTTTCAATTTTAGTATACACACGTATTATGTATTCTTATTTCATATATAACTAAAAATACATCTAGACCTATTGCAAGACCGTAGTTTAAGGCACGCGCAAAGTATTAAGCTGTGTAGATTCATCAACGATTATAGAGTATTTCAGTACATTTTGGCATGCAATCGTAGAGAACTCCAAACAAGTAGCATCGAAATTAAAAATCAACAAAATTATGCTCTTCGGCATGCCGAAAATTAAATACCCTTGCAGACACACAAATCCATTTGAGAACTTTGGTTCCTATGGCAACTCAATGATGTGCTAGTCCGTTTCTCATCTACAAAACAGATCCAACAAAAAATAAGTCTAAAATGTCTCTGCAAGGGTGTAAAAATAAAAACCAAATAACAATTAAAAACAAGAAAAAAAATTATAATTCAGTCTCCTTGGAACCAATTTGTTTTTAATTTATTTGTGGAATATGTTATGCTGCAGAAACTCAATTATTTTATTAAAGAGTTTTATTTGGTCTGCTACGACCGATCAAATTATATGCGCCATACTACATTAACATTAACTATATTCATGAAGTGGCTGAATAATATAATTTATTTTATAACTAGAATTAAAACAATTTTAACATATGAAACTGAGATATATGAGTATATAATAATGCTGATTACGTCAATTTTATAATCAGTTTCTAAACTTATTAACTTATTTTCTATGGCATGATTCTTTAAGCCCAAAATTGCTTATATCAACCCACAACACTGAATGTAACCCGTTCCTGTACTCATTTGAAACACACAAACCCATGTTTTATTAATTCGAGACCCGAAAAATCTGTAGACGCAAAACACTTATTCATTAACAAAGTTTCAGATATAATATTTTCTGAAACTCTATCTCTCACTGCAAAGCAGAAAAACACAAGCAGGCAGACAACTATACAACGTACTTGGCTAAATCCAAAAAAAAGATATTAACAGCGAAATGTTGATTAAAAGGAAACATTACGTAATTATTTGTTAAATATACATGAACACATATATACATATATATTTATTTGACAAAACGCATATTTACAAGTTAACAACAAGCAGAGTTATTCAAATATTCATATTAACCATTATAGATAACCGAAGAACACAAACTGAATTACACCCACACCTATACAAAAATGGACACAAATTGCATGACGGGGTCTAATGAAACCAAAGATAAACATTTAAATTTGGAAATAATATACATAAATACATATACACACACAAGATTACCTATACAATATAAATGTATTTATAAAAAAGTAGTGTTGTAGTTTTGCAAAGCGTTTGCATTGAAGTTTAATTAAAAAACTATGGATAATTATATTGTCGAAATTGGATACAGGAACATTTACAACAATTCTGAGTGTGTTTTTAGTTTAAACAACTGTTTGCGACATGAAACGAAGCATATACATTTAAATATAAACTATAAAGCCTAATAAAGTGTATATTCATATAAATAAATTTGAGTCTAAATATTTCCCTTGGAATGTTAATACGAATAACTATTTGTTATTATCAACGAGTACCTTTGGATTGGCAACACGGAATACATTGGGCACCATGCCCGCCAATGTTGTGAACAGCTCCTCAGAGATATCGTGTGGCAGCAACAATTGCAAGGTACTAAACAATAAAGTAAATTAATTATAGTCTTATGGTTTATTAATCAAAAGCTCACCTTAACTCCGCGCCACCCCAAGAGGCTGATTCGATCATAAAACCCTTGGCGCACTTGAATACCAGCTCTGCGCGTCGAACACACCACTGTACTGTCATGTCCTCGCTCATCTCGTGGCGCAGCAGGGCTGGGATTGTCAATGTGGTTATATCATGCCGACTGGCAGTCTTTAAAATGCTGCGCAGACCCAATATAACTGGATGGCGTGAATTTATTTCGCTGGGACTATTGATGGGCTCATCGGATATCAAATGAAATATGACGTGCGATTGTGAGAGATTCGAGTGTTTGGTTATAAAAAAATCGCCGGTCTTTAGCTTGGGCACATGCTGTTTAATTGGCGAAGATGTGGCGCTACCATCGGCACTGTTACCACTGCCACTGCCGCTTCCAGTACTCGGTGAGTTGCTTGTGCCACTGGTGTTGAGTGCCCGAATTTGTTTCTCTATCTTTTCTAGCTGCACATCCATCTGATCAAAATGAAACTCAGTCGATCTGTTCGCATTCTTGATTATGCTCTTATTGGCCTGTGCCTGTATAGAAGGGGTCAGCACGACCACGCCGCACAGTGAGCTCGAGTAAAGACCCAAGGCCATGTTGAGACCATTCAAATTTTCATCCGCGTGCAGCGGACTACACAGGTCCGTCACATTGGCGCTGAGTATGCGTATATTGTGCATGTGCTTAAGCTGAGAGCCCAAATGTATGGTGAAGCTCTCCTCCATCGAAGGCTGCTGCGAGACGAACATAGAGGAGCGATTGCCCAGCGGAGTGGAGACTGGCGATACTTGGAACATTTGGCTAACTTGACTGGTTATCCAGTTGCGATACTCATTTTTCTGATGGCCCATCATTGCCTCCAGCTCGGATTCATAACGCTTTCGCACAAAGTTGTGCGTTGTATATTGCTGTGCCAGCAGATTGTTAATGTCCTCCGATGTGGTCGTTATGTCCAGCTGATTTATTTGGCTGTCCATTTCCTGCTGTTGCGAGTTCTTTAACGTTTCCACCTCAGAGTCCATATGCTCGGTCATATCGGCTATGACCTTAGCATAGCCACGTTCCCGTTTTAGTATATCCTCTAAAGAGGAGGAATGCACCAGTCGATGAAAGCTCTGCGCAAATATGTCCTCATCGCTTGGACCAATGCGATCTGCAAATTGCAGCAACTCTTCTTTATACAGACGTTCTGTATTTCGCACTATAGATTCCAAGTCTAACTCTTCGTTGGCCGCTTGGCTGATCAAATTCTCAGCGTAGTCATCATGGAATTTCTGATGCTCCCGGTCAATAAACGACTTTAGTTCCTCCTCTAAATCTTTTTGGGGGAGTGTCTGATAAGAGATAGCTGTTCTGTTTTGTCTATTTCACTTACTTATGTCTTCGTCCAAATACCGCATCATTGGATCCATTTGAGCTAAAAGCTGTGTAACCAATTCCTCAAGGCTTTCATCCTCAAAGGGCAATTTAATATCCAGCTTGGCTTCACAACCTTTGCCTGCATAATCCTTGTAGTTATATATAAATTGGACTGTGCGATTGGTCTCCATTATAAAGTTACCGAAGCGTCTGAGAATCGGTTAAATTTTGCAGCGTATATTTGTTTTAATATATTTTAAATATTCTTCTACTTTGCTTGGCAGTGTGAAAACACTGTTAATTAACAGTCGCAGAGCAATGCAATTAGAGATGTGCACATCCCGTGCTTGGTAGGCACGCCCCGAAAATTAGCTTGTCTTTATTACGATCATATGGACACTAGCGTTTTATTTGCATTTTTAAGAAAATTTCGAGTTTGGTAATTTCTGCTCTTCTTGTTTCTGCTCGTGATGTAGCTCTTTTAACTTTGCACAAATGTACCTGTTTACCGGCATCAATTTAACATGCGATGACAATGTTAATTAACAGAGCGAACTTATCGGTAACTGCGGAAGTGTGTACACACTGCCAGCCCATAACGAGAGCGGTATTATATTTGAAATAAAAACAAGTTTGCTTTGAAGGTTTCGGTATTTATTTAAAAATGTAGATATGTATTAAAAAAAAATTTAACTTAATAGTGTAGGCAGCGCGCTTTCGTCCGTTCAAATGGTTACCTGAAAATTACAACACTTCCCTGTTTACGTGTGCAGCAACAACTTACCCAAGTCGACCATTCCGAGGGTTGCCGAAAATGTTTGGCAGTGCTGACCCAATTGCACGTGTAGATTGTCCGCTTTGTGGCTGAGTTAGCTTGGCGACCGTCATTTCAGCGCTTTGCATTACTTTTTAGCCAACTTGGAACAAAAATTACAATATATATAATTTTAGATGACATATAACGGTATAGCATGTGTGCATTCCAAATGGAAACCAGGTTAAATGAAAATAAATCGAAATAAAGAAATTATAAAAGGTGCCCGCCCACAAATATCGCTACCATTATATAAGATATTTGGCATACTGACTCTACCAGCTTACTTGCCTCTTTCAACTTACATAGGAATGTACTTTGGCACCTTGCTTTGTGCTTGCTTTGCTGCTGCGCCTTTTGCCTGTTCTAAACAAATACAAGACTTATACTAGAGATGAAATGAATAAATAAACAAGACTAGGCTTGAACTAAACAACATTTTTGATTTGGTTTTGGTATTTTTTGTTTGTTTTCTTTTTCTTTGTTTGTTTTTTTTTTTTTTTTTTTTTGTTTTTGTCAATTTTACATAAATTCATTGCTGTATTTTATATCTTTCTTTGCTACATTAAAATGTAAATTTTGTTAACATATTAGAAGTCCTTAATGGCGCTGACCTTCGAGAACTGCATACAAACTGCTACAAGGTTTCGGTTACAATTAATTGTTCTTTTGGTTACAACTAAACATTCGGAGATAATTTAGTTCAATGCGTCATAGTCACTTACAAAAACGAGCATAAGAAGCTCCTCCTCGCTAAGATATATATGTAGTATTTAATGCTAGAGCAGCGCGAGCGGCTCTTGAAAAAGATGAGCGCACGCTCTACTCGTTTTTAAAATTATGAGAAGCTTAAGCCTAATGAAAAATATTAATACATTTGTTTAAATATAGATTTGTGTAGATTTTTGCACTGATTATCAGAAATTGTGGGCGATAGCCATTCAACCATTGGAGGTGGTCGCTTGAATATAGATTTAGTCGGCTGCCGCCCTGAAGTTTTCGTTTTTAATATGTTTTGTATATACTAAGTAATATTACTGCTTACTGAAGGATTGTGGCTACAAGGGTACAAAATGTAACTCGAGTTGTTTGTTTTTGATGCGCATGGTGTATGCGACATTACTATTTTACAATGTTCCTTTTGTTATAATTATTAAGTTGGCTACAAAATGTTGAATATAAATATTATTCTATTTTGAATATTGAATAGGTAGGTTTGATGACGTGTGTGTTAAATCAATTATCGTATATCATAATATCGTATCGTAACTGTGCAAATTACTCTCATTGAATCCTGGCCAGCTGCTGTGTACGTGTACTGCTGGATGCGTATGTGTGAGGGTCTCGCTGCTGCTTAATTCACTTCTCTTCATTTCACTTCTGTCTTCTCTGCATTTGTAAGTTCTGTTAACTCTGCTGCTGCTGCTGCAACTGCTCTCTGAATAAACGCACCACACACACACACATACTGCTCTGCTCTGTACTTGTACTGACTTTGACTGAACCAATCTCACACGACTGCACTGCACTGTTCCTGATATTTATCTTCTCTGTCATGATATTGGTATGGATGTTCTCGGAAAACTTCTTAGGTATATGAGTTGTTGCTCATATCATTGAATTGCGTATCGTTTACTTGACTTTGACTTTTGGGAATAAACTGAGCCACTGCTAATTTACCACCTATAAAATGTCGATAAATGAGAAACGTTATTTAAATAAATTGTTGTAAAGCATTCTAACAGTACTTAAATGGTTTTTTTTTTTCTAATTACGTTTACACAAAATAAATACTTAAAAAGATTAGTTTGCAAATAGTTCAAAAGGAGTTTTAAAAGAAAAATTTGTTCAATCTTCGATATCGATACTAAGATGCTGTTAGAAGCTACCAGGAAAATGCCGATAAGATAAGAAAGAGAGCTATATGTGTATTTATATTTAAAACGCAAGAAACCTACGCAAATTGTTTGTAAAAAAATAAACAAAATAACACAAAAAAATATGCAAATATATTTATAAATAAATATATATATATACAAATATATATATATATGGCTGGGTGGTTGGTAGGTTGATCGCAATATTTTCTTTTTTTTTTTTTGTTAGGGTCCTTAACTAAATTTATAACTATGCTCACCTCGTCTGGGGGCGCCTCAATATCTGCGATTGTTGCCGCCACCGTTATTGAAGCCCTGATTGTTGCCACCATAATTGCCTTGATTGCCACCGCCTTAAAAACACAAAAGAAAACCCACATGCACTTTTAAAAAAGTCTGCTCAAAAACTAAACCCAAAAGGATTACTCTAATAACTGAACAAAACTGAACTGCGACGTGGGTGTGTGTGTGTGTTACGACTGCATAAGCACAAAGTCTTCTGCATTCGTTTCACAGCATTCTTTATAAAACTAAAACTGGCAAACTCTATGGACGCACCGTCAGGCTACTCTTAATTAACTACGAATCCCATGCCCAGCACAAATACACAGCGCCGCTATAAAGCGCTAAGTTCTCGCTGTGCACTCGAGCTGGGAGCTTCAAGTGATCGTTTGTGAAATTTGATGAGACATGTTTGATTGATGCTTACCTGCTTTGTTGGCAAAGTTGCCGCTCTGGTAGGGCTGCATGCGATTGTTGCCAAAATTGCCGCCACGCTGTGGACCACCGCTGTAGCCTTGCTGATAGTTACCAAAGTCATTGCCGCCATTGTTACCCCAGTTACCGTTACCGCCGCCGCCACCGAAGTTGCCGCCATTGTTGCCCCAATTGTTGTCCCAGGGTCCGTTATTGCCCCAGCAATTGTTGCCGCCGCCGTAGCCGCCGCCAAAATTGTTGTTGCCCCAATTGTCGTTATTACCGCCGCGATTACCCCAGTTTCCGTTCTGGTTACCAAAGTTACCACCACCGCCCATGTTTCCACCCCTATTGCCGCCACCGCCGCGACCACCCTGACCGCGACCACCACCACCGCCGCCGCCCATTTCATTTTGCTTCGGCAAAGCCTTCTTCACGTCCACCATTTTGCCATTCAGCTGGTGCTGTTTTTGCACTGCAATTAAAAAGTATAGAAAAAAATGTAAGTAATGTATAACACGAAGCAAAATTTGTAAGACTTGTAATTTGAGCTAAAACCACATGTGCCAAATACTTTTTGATCATTGATGCACAAATACAACAATAACTAAAATATAATATGGGCTGGGTTTTAATCTTACAGCCATAAAACGCCGCAAAGACACATCAAGCATTGCAATGCGGAGCTGGGACTGTGTAATTCGCCTAATATATTAAATTGTAACGAGGTTGCGTGTTACACTGAACAAGCTTTTTTTTTATACATTCGCATAACATAGCTTAGCCGACGCTTTTATTTATCTCACAGCGTTCAAAAGGAAACTGTACAAGCGTTGATCAAGCATGTCAATTTGTCAGTACTGTGTTTATTTATTAATCAAGTGTGGCACATACGTTTTCATCAATTAGGCATACAGAGTGCCCAATTAACAAAGATATAATATGTGCAACATTTCTCTTACAGTCATGAAACGCCGCACAGACACATCAAACATTGCTATGCGGAGCTGGGACTGTGAAACATTAATAAATTAATGCCATCCGAGGTAGATGGGTTTACTGAGTCAGTAATGCACAAGGATCCATGTGCGAATGTCTGGCTGGGCTTGAAGTCTTGGTGAGACCTATTCATATTGTTTCTATACATATCTCATTCTTATAATAATTGTATTGCTTTAATGTAACGAGGCTGCGTGTTACGCTGAATTTGGATTTTAGATACATTCGCATAACATAGCTTAGCCGACGCTTTTATTTATCTCACAGTGTTTAAAGGGAAACCGTACAAGCGTTGGTCAAGCCTGTCAATTTGTCAGTACTGTGTTAATTATCTCACCAATTGTGGAACATACGTTTTCATCAATTAGGCATACAGGGTGTCCAATTAACAAAGATATAATATGTGCAACATTTATCTTACAGTCGTGAAACGCCGCACAGACACATCAAACATTGCTATGCGGAGCTGGGACTGTCTATAGAATATGTACATAAGTGTTTCAGTTTTGTACTTACACACAACTTTATCCACGGGATCGTAGTCGTCGAACTCAACAAAGGCAAAGCCACGTTTCTTGCCAGTCTCTTTGTCCATGACAATGTTGATGTCAACAATGCTGCCATAGTGCTGGAAGTAATCACGCAGACTCTGCTCATCATGATCGTCCTTCAGGGCGCCTACAAACAGCTTCTTGACAGTGGCGCCTGCATTGGGCGAGTCAATGTCTTGGCGTGGTACAGCACGCTTGGGCTCGACGACGCGTCCGTCGATTTTGTGCGGACGTGCCTTTTGGGCTTCATCCACCATGCTTGAATGCGAGTATGTAATAAAGCCGAAACCGCGTGAGCGCTTCGTACGCGGATCCTTCATGACGACCACATCGACAATTTGGCCCCATTTTTCAAAGTGCGCTTTTAAATTGTCATCGGTGGTGCGGTAATCCAGACCGCCAATGAACAATTTACGCATATGCTCTGGCTCAGTAATTGAGTCCTAAATATAAAAGAACAAAAGTTTCATATCGATTTTTTTTTTCATCAAGCCAAACCTAACCTCTACCCCGCTGACGCACATGTAGAAAATTTCAAAATGGCGGTCACCGAGTTTGCGTATGTACCCACACATGCATACATGCACCCAACTCATAAACTCTTAGCGAATATAATATGCCTACTTACATCGTCATGCTGGCCATTTGAGTTTCCATTTTGATCGTTGTGACCGCCCATCTTATATATTGTTCTTAATTTGTTACTTTTTCCTTTGTATTTTGAAAAACGACACAGCACAATGCTTCACCCGTTTCAATTGAATAATGAAAATTGAAATGTAATGCCAGGCTGTGTGACCAAATCTGGAAAACGTCACGATACTTTCAAAGTAGTGTTGTGCAGGGTTCTTATATTTTTTGCAGGATAGTACGCTGCTCTTAATGTATTTGTGATGATAAATAAAAATCACTCCTTGGATATAAACAGACTGAATACATATATATATACTTAAAATAAATTTAAATAGTATATGTTGTTGGTGTTGCTATTTTTTTTTGTTGATACCATTGTTTCTCAAATTTATAAACATAAACATTTTATTTATTTATTCGCATTACATTAACTAGACAGTGTTGTAAACAAGCAAATAGTTTTTTAATTTCTGTTGCGAGATAATCTCGGCTAAATATGTATTTTGATATATATTAGTATACAAAGACTAACGAAAAAATACTTGCTTAAATAACTTATAAAAACCATCTGATCACCGTACACATCTTAACAAGTTCACTAGCTCTTTTTTTTTTTAATACGACACACAAGTCAAGATGCCGAAAAAGAAAACCGGCCAGCGCAAAAAAGCAGAGAAGCAAAAGTTACGTTTGAAGGAGATTAGGGGACGAGAGGTTCCTCTCGCTGATCTGCCTTGCAATGCACCGATGGACTGTGACAAGTGTGAGAAAAAGCAAAAGTCTCGTGCCTTTTGCTATTTCTGCCAGAGTGTGCAGCGTTTGCCCATTTGTGCACAATGTGGCAAGATAAAGTGCATGCTAAAGACGGGTGACTGTGTAATCAAACATCCCGGCGTGTACACGACTGGATTTCCGGGCATGGTTGGTGCCATTTGCGACTTCTGCGAGGCTTGGGTGTGTCACGGGCGAAAATGCCTAACCACGCACGCCTGCACCTGCCCGTTGCAGAACGCTGTGTGCCTAGAGTGCGAACGTGGTGTTTGGGAGCATGGTGGACGCATCTTTAAGTGCTCCTTTTGCGATGGCTTTCTGTGTGAAGACGATCAATTTGAGCATCAGGCCTCGTGCCAGGTGCTGGAGTCGGAGAACTATAAATGCCAATCATGCAATCGTCTGGGTCAATATTCATGCTTGCGCTGCAAGACGTGCTACTGCGAGGACCATGTGCGCCGCAAGGGATTCAAGTATGATAAGAACAAGGCTATACCTTGCCCTAAGTGCAATTATGAAACATCTGTGACAAAGGATTTGAGCATGTCCACGCGATCCCATAAATTTGGCCGTCAACAACAAGGCATGGGCAGTGACGACGAAGAGGGGTATGGTGGCTACTATGGGGGCTATGGGGCTAGTAGCAGCGCTGGCTATACGTATGGCGATGATGACGAGGACGATGGTGATGACGATGAGAGCGAAAGCGATGATGATGACGAAGAGGAGACTAGCGGCAGTGATGCTGAAGAAACCGCTAAGGCGGAAGATAAATCTGAAAAATAATTCTTTTGTTTTTTAAATAGATACATTTACAAATGTGTATGTAATAAATTCAAGTACTCAGTAGATAATTTTGTTGTGGAAAGACAAGCTGTTTGGTTTCATAGGGTGTAATGTTTTCGATCAGCTAATAGATGGGTTCTGTCACTTACAAAAGATGGCTGCTATGGATGAACACAAAAAAGCGTATTTCACAACACTGGTGACTTGCACGTGCGGCATAGACTTGTTTTGATTTGTAATGGAAATTTTTAATAATCGTCCAGGATTTTGTCCGTCCTGTGGATCAATTTTGCCGCCTCTGCAAGTTAAAGGAAACGTCTTTTGCTATAACTGTAAACAAGAGTTCTCTCCAGATGGTAAGCTATTGTTAATATTATTTTTTTGCTTAATCTCAAAACGCCGGACTCTCAGTTTATAGCGGTGAGACATCCGAGTACACAATACACTTTAATTCCTACGATCCCAGCAAGCTGTCCAAGAAAGGAAACCGTGAGACCGATACTGCAGAGGCTGATGGTCCAGTTGTAGAGCGGAAGTGTCCCAAATGCGGCAACGACAAAATGTCCTATGCCACCTTGCAGCTACGTTCGGCGGATGAAGGTCAGACTGTATTCTTCACCTGTTTGAAGTGCAAGTAAGTGCAACATCAAAGGGATCAATAGCAAATGCTTAACTATAACTTTGTTTATTATACAGATACAAAGAATCGGAGAACTCCTAAATGCATCATTTTAGCCTGTTACTCAACAAATTGTGTAAATACAAGTATCTTAAATTAATGAAAATAACTGTGCTCGACAGCCTGAAAATATAGATGGAAAGAGATTTGTGGATGGTAATTGCGTCACTTGTTTGTTGTTAATTCAGCGCTCACCTCGGTGGCCTTAAGACGATTCTTTGGATTATATACGACTAGGTTCGAGACCAAATCAATTTCAACAGCATGTGTGCAGCTTGGAAACAGATTGTCCCAACGTACGCCCACCGAATTGGGAAACCTGCCAGCAACAATTAGACTAATTATCAACCCATTGTCTAAGCAAGCGGACATCTCACCTTATTTTACTGTAATCCGGCAGCGCTGTAAGCTCTGGCCATTCGTTTAGCCGCGGGCTTCCCAACGTACGTATTATAATCGCCAATTGCTCGATATCTGTTGTGCCTGCAAAGAGCGGTACGCCGCGTAGCATTTCGGCCAACACATTTCCGCATGCCCACAAGTCGACGGCAGGTCCATATTTCTGACTGCCCCAGAGTATTTCGGGTGCACGATACCACCTCGTGGATACTTGTGGCGAATAAAGGCGTGACTCTTCTTCGGGGAAGTACAGGCGCGCTAAGCCAAAGTCGGCAATCTTCAGGACATCCGTATGACTGATTAGCAAATTGGCGGGTTTGATGTCCCTGTGCATAATGCCCGCCTCATGCAGGTATGCCATGCCTTTGAACATCATCAGGGCATATTTTCGCACCTGCTGGCGGCTCAACGGATTCACTTCGCTTTTCAGTCGACTATACAGTGTGTCCGGCATGTACTCTAACACCAGCGAAAGGCCAGTGAGATCGGGATATATCTCGATAATGTTTAATATCTGCAACAGCAACGTTGAGGCAACATACACATAAGATTTGGTATCAGATCGTAACTTACATATTCCGAATTACACAGTTGAAGTGTTTTTATTTCGCGCAGCGTACTCAAGGATATGTTGCCAAATTTGTTCTTCAATGCGACCTTCTTGATGGCCACCTCCACGTTGCGCTGCAAATCGATGGCCTTGAACACGCAACCGTGAACACCTTCACCAATTTTATCTTGCATTTTATAACGACTGGGCGCATAGTCGTCCATTATTAGACTGTAATTTTAATTTGGTAATTGAGTACCACTCTATTTATGAGCTTTGTTTTTTTTCCGTGTTTTTATATACTGTCTCCGTAGTCCCTGGCAACGGTCACAACAATGCCAAACAGCCGTTAGCCTGCGAACACAACTAGCAAAACAGAAGTCCTTAAGCTCAGCCACCTGTTGCCTGGTTGTTTACAGTTAGTTTTTGCTGTTTGTGATAATGCGAAATGGGGCCTAAAGCGTGGGCTGTCAAATTTCGAGGCATGCGCATTTCCATGTCCTTCTGCTGTGCCAGGTCAACTGTCAATTTGTGCGGATACACAATTTTTCGGACCCTCGCAACTTCCAAAGAAACGAACGCAGCTTACGAAATTAAATAAAACTATTTAAATATGTCTTTAGTTATTAAATAAGTGGTGCACATCAATTAACTCGCTGGTAGGTGTAACTATATTTTAAATCAGTTGCAAATCTAACGCTGCAAATAACCGTTACAAAAACTGTAAAATATGTGTCAGCCATGTACGTACGTGTATGTATGTATATATGCATGTGCCATAAAGTGTACTGTGCTAATATAAAAACTATTAACATGAGCAATTTAAGGATGCAAATTAAATGATTATTAGCCTTTACATGGTCTTTTCACTACAATTTATGATCAATAAGGTCAATAACGATTTAATGTACACATGAATGTATTAGCGAGCCATGCAAAGTGTGTATCTACATACATATGTATGTATGTATGTATGTGCAAGTGTTTGTAATTTTTTTTGTGACATGCATCGACACGCACAGCCTGTCAGGCGCAGCAGCACCTTGAACCAATTTTATAATTCTACTATTGGTTTTGACTTTGAACAAAAAAAAAAAAGTGCATTGCATTTGAAGGCTTTATAAACCGTTTATGTATGCAAACACAAGTATTAAACTAATTTACTTTGGAAAAGTATTTGCCATAATTGGTAGAACATGCAGCTTGAAACCGATTGCAACCGATACATGCAGAGATACAATATGATAAATTAGATAATTGTTAAATCATGGATAATATTTCTGAAAAATAATATGAAGGAATTAAAAATATACATACATATGTACAAATGTGCATATATACATACATATCTACTTTTAATTTGGAATGTACATGCATAAGTACAACAACAACAACAACAACATTATACACGATTACCACATCGCATTATTGGCATATCACATTTAACAATATTTAATGGCATTACAGCCCGCGCACACAACATGTCCCATCCACATCTGGTCCTGTCACTGCTGCTGTGCTTTAGCCTCGGCTCGTGGACCGTTCAGTCAAGAACTGCCAAACGCTCCGATGTCTACATAGCGGGCTTCTTCCCATATGGTGATGGCGTTGAGAACTCGTACACGGGACGCGGAGTTATGCCCAGTGTCAAGCTGGCCCTTGGTCATGTCAATGAGCATCCACAGATACTGACCAACTACAGGCTGCATATGTGGTGGAATGATACACAGGTATAATTGGTTTACACGAACCGCGAAGTAGTTCCTTTATGCTTTTTCTTATTTGCAGTGCAATGCTGCCGTGGGAGTGAAATCTTTTTTCGACATGATGCACTCTGGTCCTAACAAGGTGATGCTCTTTGGTGCAGCCTGCACGCATGTCACAGATCCCATAGCCAAGGCCAGCAAGCACTGGCATTTGACACAGCTGAGCTATGCGGATACCCATCCCATGTTCACCAAGGATGCGTTTCCCAATTTCTTTCGAGTGGTACCCTCGGAGAATGCATTTAATGCACCACGCCTAGCGCTGCTCAAAGAGTTTAATTGGACGCGAGTGGGCACCGTGTATCAGAACGAACCACGATATTCACTGCCTCACAATCATATGGTTGCCGATCTGGATTCCATGGAGCTGGAGGTGGTAGAGACCCAGAGTTTCGTCAACGATGTAGCCGAGTCACTGAAAAAGCTGCGGGAAAAAGATGTTCGAATAATTTTGGGCAATTTTAATGAGCATTTTGCCCGCAAGGTTTTCTGCGAGGCATTCAAGTAAGTCCTTGAAAAATATAAATATATTGTAATGCCCGTAATAATGCCGCTTTTAGATTGCAAATGTATGGACGCGCGTATCAGTGGCTGATTATGGCCACCTACACCACGAATTGGTGGAATGTGACGATGGACAGCGAATGCAGCGTGAAGGAAATCGCCACGGCCTTGGAGGGTGCCATATTGGTGGATTTGCTGCCGCTCTCAACCAGCGGAGACATAACAGTTGCAGGCATTGTAAGAGGACTCCAGATTTTACCCACATATGCAACCTCTTATGGCTTATTTATTTTCCAGACGGCGGATGAGTATCTAGTTGAGTATGATAGATTACGCGGCACGGAATACTCGCGCTTCCATGGATATACCTACGATGGTATTTGGGCAGCTGCATTGGCCATACAGTATGTAGCGGAGAAGCGTGAAGATCTGTTAACACATTTTGATTATCGAGTCAAGGACTGGGAAAATATTTTCCTGGAAGCATTACGTAATACTTCCTTTGAGGGTGTCACGGTTGGTATTAGCCCTAAAATTAAAAAGCTGTTAAATAGCGTGTGTATATTATTTCTAGGGACCGGTACGCTTCTACGACAACGAACGCAAGGCTAACATTCTGATTACCCAGTTTCAAGTGGGACAAATGGAAAAGATAGGTGAATATCACTCACAGCAAGCACACTTGGATATGACGCTGGGCAAGCCCGTACGTTGGGTGGGCAAGACGCCACCCAAGGATCGCACGGTGATCTATATAGAACACAGTCAAGTTAATCCCACCATATATATTGTGTCAGCCAGCGCCTCTGTCATTGGCGTGATAATAGCCACCGTTTTCCTAGCCTTTAACATCAAGTATCGTAATCAACGGTAAGATCTTAACTTCCCATAGCTACTCTTCCTTAACTTACCAAGTCTGTATTACTTGCAGCTACATCAAAATGTCAAGTCCACATTTGAACAATCTGATTATTGTTGGCTGCATGCTGACGTATCTGAGCATCATTTTTCTGGGCCTGGATACTACGCTGAGCAGTGTAGCAGCCTTTCCCTATATATGCACGGCTCGAGCATGGATTTTGATGGCAGGTTTCAGTTTGGCTTTTGGTGCCATGTTTTCGAAAACTTGGCGAGTGCATTCGATTTTTACCGATCTGAAGCTGAACAAGAAAGTGATCAAGGACTATCAGCTGTTTATGGTTGTGGGCGTGCTTTTAGCCATTGATATAGCGATAATAACCACCTGGCAGGTAGCCGATCCGTTCTATCGTGAGACGAAGCAGCTAGAACCAAAAGTGAGTATTACACCAATGGGACTTCCTTAATAACTTACTATTATTACAGCACCACGAGAACATTGATGATGTGCTGGTCATACCTGAGAATGAGTACTGCCAATCAGAGCACATGACCATATTTGTCAGCATCATCTATGCATATAAAGGCTTGCTACTGGTCTGTATACTTTGACACTAATGACTGTTAATTATACTTATTCTAATGTGTTCCTTATTTGCCACCTTTAGGTTTTTGGCGCCTTCTTGGCCTGGGAAACCAGGCATGTCTCCATACCAGCCCTAAATGACTCCAAGCACATTGGCTTCTCAGTTTATAATGTGTTCATTACTTGTATTGCCGGCGCGGCCATATCGCTGGTTTTATCGGATCGCAAGGATTTAGTTTTTGTCTTACTCTCGTTTTTTATAATTTTTTGTACGACAGCCACTTTGTGTTTGGTGTTCGTACCGAAAGTAAGACTGGTAGTAAGGAAGTTTTGTAGTTTTTGTAGCTGTTATATAATCGTGTATTACTTATATACAAACAAACATACGAGTGCATACGTATTTTGTTGAATGTTGTTTAATATTGTTCGTTTGATCATTTCGAATGCCATCAATCGAATGAACTGCATTTCAAATGATCAGCATTTCCTTTAGCGCTACTCTTTACGCACAGAACAAACAAAAACGTTACTAAATTCTAAACTTTGCTGATGCTACATAACACTACTAACTTTTTATAAACTGTTAATTCTATCTACATACTTAGCTATGTATATCAGCAATGCCGTAGAAACATTGAAAACCTTTACTCTATAATTGGATATTACTATTTATCGGTATTTCTGATATATGTATGTTCTATCCTACATTCTCAAATTTCAACTTGAGAACTTTCCTTGCTGTGTGCTGTGTTGTCTGGCAGCAAACTTATCTAATCCCGGCTTATTGAATTTCAGCTCGTCGAACTCAAACGCAATCCTCAGGGCGTTGTGGACAAGCGAGTGCGCGCTACTCTACGCCCTATGTCCAAGAATCGTCGCGATTCTTCGGTCTGTGAGCTAGAGCAGCGGCTTCGCGATGTTAAGAACACCAATTGTCGCTTCCGCAAAGCTCTGATGGAAAAGGAGAACGAGCTGCAGGCTCTAATACGCAAACTGGGCCCAGAGGCTCGCAAGTGGATCGATGGTGTCACATGCACAGGCGCCCCCACTGACATGGAGCCTATTCTAAGCGAGGATATGGCGAGGCTATCAGCGCCACCGGTGCGTCGCGAGATGCCCAGTACTACAGGTGAGTGAGCTTGGGTTCTATCTAGACAAATTCATGCATTGCTCACTGATTGCACTTAGAAGTTACCGAGCTGACATCAGTGGATAGCATCACTTCCACGCACGTTGACATGGACAATTCCTTCGTTTCGGTGCAGTCCACGACTTTGGCGCCCTCTTTGCCGCCGTAAGTACTAGGAGAGCCACATATACTAGATATGTGTATTTAATCAGTATGTCCAACAGTAAAAAAAAGAAACAGTCAATTGTGGAACACCATCCGCCCGCAATGATGCAGCCTATCCAGCAGCAGCTACAACAACATCTGCAGAAGCAGCAACAAATGCAGCAACAGCAGCAACAACAACATCAACACCATCGACATTTAGATAAACGCAATTCAGTTTCGGCTCAAACAGATGCCAATATTGGTAGCATAACCAGCAGCGCCAGCAAACGCAGCACTGGCGACTGTGCCGCGATTCGCCGCCAGTCAACTGCATCCCGACACTATGAAAGTGGGAGCCAAACGCCAACGGCGAAGCCAAAGTATAGCAGCACACATCGCAACTCCTCCACGAATATATCCACCTCACAATCGGAGCTGAGCAATGCTTGTCCGCACAGCAAGCCCGGCACGCCAGGTATTATCAAGAGTAAGTATTCGCCTATCCTATATATTGCACAACGTTTCAAATTCAGTTAAAAAATAAAATAGTACCTATATTTAATTATAAGCATAAATCTCCCTTTAAATTTACTTACATATGTTAACCAAATATAAATTGTTATTCATGCTTCAGTAAAATTACATTTCATTCCTTTTTTAACAGCTCCCACTGCGGGTGACCATCGGCGCACTAGCATGGGCTCAGCTTTAAAGTCTAATTTTGTTGTCTCGCAGAGCGATCTCTGGGACACACACACGCTCTCACATGCTAAGCAGCACTCGCGCCAGTCGCAGCGTACTTATGCCAGCCCACAGCGCTGTTCCGAACATCATGGACACGTGATGGCCTATGACCAGAACACAACGTCGCCCATTCAACGATCCGTCTCGGAAAAGAATCGCAATAAGCATCGTCCCAAGCCGCAAAAGGGTACGGTGTGCCAGAGTGAAACGGACAGCGAGCGGGAGCGCGAACCGACACCCACTACTGTGCAGCAGTGCACACAGACGCGCAAGTTCAATCGCAATTCCAACATTCAGCATGCGGCGCACCATCACAGCTCACCGAATGTGGCGCCGGAGAAGCAAAGGAAGCAGCGCAACAGAACGGATCATTCAATCTATGGAGCCAGCTCCGAGACGGAGTTAATCGAGGGGGAGACAGCTATACTACCCATATTCCGGAAGCTGCTCACCGAAAAGAGTCCCAACTATCGCGGCCGAAGTGTTGTTGGCCAGAGCTGTCCTAATATATCCATTAAATGCGATATCGTTGAATACTTGTAGGCGATAATGACAATGCTGCAATCGATCGACAAATGCAGTTTTTAGCCCCTAGGACAAAATTCCTTATACTCTTTCGTATTGCATACTAATGTGAAGAAAGTGAATGCACAATTTCATAAATTGCTAGCACAAATAATATTGAGAAAAATAGTTGAAAAATATAAGATAATTAATGTAAGTAATTACAAACGTTGTTTTTAAATTAAATTGGGTTGTTTTGAAAGTAATATTTTTATTAATTGTTTTAAAGGTAACATTTATTAAATCACTTCAACACATTTAATAAGTTCAATGAAGGAAGTACAAGGTTTTCAGTTATAGTTAAGTACAATACGTCATGATTTTTTGTTTAACTAGCTCTCATTGTCTGTATAAACATAGATTTGTATTTATCAATTTGTCACCTTCTGTATCACAGTTACATGGTTATTACAAACGCGAGTGTGTTGTGTGTTGCTGTGTGTTTTAAACATTTACAACTAAGTAGGATAGACAACACATATAGTACACCAATGTATATTATATATATATATATGTATATATATATAGTATACATATATATATATATACATATATTTATGTTTGTTCTGTATATAACTACCATATATGGTAACTACATATAGCTGCATACATACTATAATGCCGGCATCAACATAGTTGGCCCATTTAACAGCTAATAAAAATTCAGAGTATAAATAGTTTTGATTACAGTTAAATACGTAAATACATAAACAATTACGCGGACGCGCTCTGCTGTTCAATAATTTACTTAAACCTAATAATACCGACATCATGCAGTCGTACAATTATGGACGTACCCAGTACCTTCCGCCAATTGCTTCAGTTTACAATATTTAGCTCACTTGGCTCGAGCGAGCGTCAAACGTTACAATAACAAAGTAAAAATCGCATTGCAACTGTTTAAAGTCTTTTTGAAATAGCACACTAAATAGTAAATCAAATAGCCAAATAGTTGGCGCAAATGTTTGCTCAAGCATAAGTACAATTAATTGCGAATCTCCGCCTACTAGAATATTATATTAGCAAAGTATAAAATGTCTCAAACATTTACGCAAACCGCTTGCCTCTTTGAGTCACGCTTAACTCTAACAAAGTAGTTGCACATACGACTAGCTGTGATATATCAACACAGCTCACACACGTACACTTACAATGGCGCAATGTGTGCTAAATACATATACATATTAATTGTATATATTTCGGACAGCTTGGTTGCGTAGCTCTTTGTATAAAAAATGCATATGCTTGCAGCTCCTTAGGCAATCAGAAGCTCCATTGAAAATCGCGGACTCCGCTTGATATTTTCCACTAGTGCGTCGTTTGAAATGAGTCCACAGCCAGAGAAGGCGGCGGATGTCCACTTTCTGTACCTGAAATGGTTCTGATCTGATTGTTTGAATTAAGAGATTCCAATTCATGTGTCTCCGAATTGGCCATCTCAACAATGGCTGAGCTGGTGGGTGTTAGCAGCTGTTCAGTGGCAATTATTTGACTGGGTTTGCTGTAAAAGATTACAAACACAAATTAGAGATAGCCAAGAATATGGGAGTTGGACCTACCGTTCGTAGAACTTATTAGACTTTGCAGTGCGACGCTTGCGCCATGCAGGCCAGCCCAACTGCATGAAATCGTACTGCGGTCCGGCCACTTTAAGCAGGCTCATCAGGAAGAAGGTTGCATAGAACCAACTGGTGGCCATGACTACAACTAAAAATATGCCAATCTGTATGTAAGGTAATATATTTGATGCCATCATAATGCCACCGGCAACGCCAGTGGTAGTCGCTGCCATAACTGTTGGTCCAATGATGCGGGACAGCGCGAATTGTGTGGCTGCAATGCGCTCCTTAGAGGGAGAGAGCCGATAATGTATGCCATAGTGCAGGCTAAAATCCACAGCCAAGCCAATTGCAGTCGATACAGCAATGCTCTCCAGTATATTAAGCCGCCATCCGAGTAAAATAAGCACAGCCACCGTGTTAAAAATGGTCAGAGAGACGGTAATGACGGCATATATGGAAATAATAAAATTAAGTGTGAAGCAGAGCAGAACCACAAGAGAAGCTGCCATGGCCAGCCCAATAGCAATGATTGTGTCGTGCGAAAGTGTGTCCTGAACGCTGTAAAACTTCAAATCACTGATAAACCAGCCACCACGCAACTCCAAAGGCGCCGTGCTGAGCTGCTGCTGAAACCAAGTCTCGACGCTCTCATAAAACTGGTTGATGTTAGCGAAGAGCGTGCTGTATCTGACATTCGAATCAAACTCAATAATGATCGCTTTCACGAGTAGTTGCGTAGGTGTAGACTCAATGCTTAAGCTTTCATTACTATTGCCCTCGAAGTACTCATCCGAGTGGATGGGTCCAGCAGCAAACTTTGGACCCGCTTTGCCGTGCTGATAGAAACTGGTTTCGCACAGATTCGAAATACATTGTGGCAAACACTCCTCAAATATGTGCGGCTCGTAGGGAAACTCTGCGTCGCAGCAGGGTGCGCGATCCAAGCTCATTGAGTCCATGTCATCAACGCATCTAAGAATGAAAAAAATGAGTGAATAACTTTCACTAATTTGTATAACACAATACTTACCTACGCTCCATGTATCTTATAAAGTTCTCAATGAAGCAATTAGGCAGCAAGAAACCAAAGGTAGCCTGATAAAATGGCTGCTGGCGTATGTTTTGACAAAAGTTCCTTAACCAAATCTGCGCCGTCTTGCTTGATATATTAAAATTATTGTCATAGTGTAGGTTACCGTATGAGCTGGGGTTCGTGAAGTCGCCATCGTCCACCGCTTGTACGCCCCAAACGAAGCGCATGCTCATATTGAAATTTTCCACTCCTTGCAGAGGCTTCTCAAACCAAAACTGATGCCTTAGCTTTGTATAAGCCTCGAAAGGATGCTGTGACACAAATAATTGAAAATGTGGTTTCTCTGGCAGCTGTAGACCCGGATACCAAAACACAATGATCGCACTGGAAACGCCCAGCACGGCAAAGATGAACAACCACAGGTATGCATAACTCATAATACTCTGCGTAATACACTCTTCAAACAATTCGCAAAATCGATTAATTGACTTCTTGCAGGCGTTGATCAATTTTTGTGTTAAATGTTGCTGGCAGCACATGTGGCTGGCAAACAGGCGTTCCATAATTGATACCGAGGCGGGTAACCAGGTGATCATAAGCAAATAGTTGGTGACCACAACGGTGCCCGCAAAAATTCTGTAAATGGAAGCCATTAATAGTGGATAGTTTATTATAAGACTAACAAGACTTACCCAAAACATTTAATTGCAGTTATGGAGCTACTGTAGGAGGCATAAAATGCGCTAGCAGTGGTTACGGAGGTGACAAACATAGAAGCTGCCGCATGTCGCATGGTCAGCGCCATTAGATTCTCTAATGTTTCCGTATGCTCATTGTGCTCCAATGGAGTGGGCAACGTTGATTGTGTGTTTAATGTACTGCTCTTGCTAAAGCGCTCGGCCAGAACACATTGCCAGATTTTTAGGAACAAGAATACATCATCCGCACCAATACCAATGATCACCACAATGGCTAGGAGATTCATATATGGAAAGAAGCTTAACTCAAATACCAGCGTATAAACAAAGTATGCCAATCCCAATGAGAAACAAATGGCACAAGAGGACATTAGTGTAATAAACGCAGAGCCTGTATATAACCAAACGCAAGCCATAACGAAGAGACCACCCAGCGATACCAGCCAAACGTCAGTTAGTAAAAGCTCGCTAAATAGCTCATTTTCCAGACCCAAATCCATGGCAACAACTTCCACTAACTCATTGCATAGCTCGCTGTAAAAAGAGTTGAATAAAAACTATTTAAATAATCACATAAGACTAGAAATATATGTTAAAATTATATTAAATAGAAGTACCCAAAAGTATTCACAAATAGTTCACTCACCGCTCAAATTAGAAAATTTAAATTTAACATTAAATGTACATGAACTGATTTAGTAAAATGGCTAGCGAAGAGGAATCTATGGCACGCAGCGAACGTTTAGCTCAGGTGGACGTCAAAGATCTGCTGCCAACATGTTTCAATAAAAAGACCGTCACAAAGGCGGACTTTGTGAACCACATGCATGATGGTCGCATTTATAAACCACAAAAGATAATTAAAAAGCAAACCGATGCGGCTTTGATATCTGGACATTATGCGAACAATCTTAAGGTTAATAATTTTGAATTAAAGACGCGCACCTGGCCCTATGCAATGGACTGGCGTGAAGAATATCGCCAATATTTAATGCGCACCAAATGGTGCAACGAGGATATTTATAAATTGTTCTTTGAGTGCCCGCCAGTGCGTTTTGATCAAGTCGAAGATTTTTTGAGGGATATGCAGAAAACTCTTTACGGTTCAGACTATTCGCCAAATGACTATGCGTCACTGCATAGTCGGAAAACCACAATAGCGGATATATCAGATCCGAGCCTTTCATCCAAGGACATTCAGACTACCTATGGTAATTACTATAATCGGCTCGAGGAGCTCAATGCCTTGGGTGCAGCATTGTATCGGCGACCTGAACCCAAAAATATGTCCATGGAGACATTTGCCAAAAACATGCGCAAGCTTTTCCGCAAATATGATCTGAGTACATACTATGAAGAAGTCTGCGTACCCGCATTGGTGACAGCAAAGGATGGCAAAATGCCTACAGGACCCATCGATCGTTACACGCTGCGCAAGTACTAAAATTATTAAGACAATTCAATATTCAACTTACACGTGTTGCCATTCGTGGAAAAGCGGCAGGATGCGATTGGAGCGAGCAACTGGTACAAAAATCATTGCGTATTTCAAATAAACATTAGTGTCCTGTATAAAAAAAAAAGAATTATTAATTGGACCAATCTTTATCGTAATAACACTAACATTTGGCTTAATAAAGCTGTGGTCACTTAGAAAGTTGAGTACATTGAAAACCAAATTGTTGCGCGTACATTCTTCCGGCGCATAACATCGATTTAATTCATTACAATTGATGTCCAGCTTTAGATAGTGGAAGTAATCGTAGCAATTAAGCAGCAGCGATCGTAGCAGCGACACATCATCCGTGGTCAGATCAAAACAGGAACTCTTATTGGCCAACAGGGTGGCATAGTTGGGCAGCGACCACGGCCGGCAGCAATTGAATGTCAGCATTTCGGGCTCACAGAATGCCTGGTAGCTCGGCACGGTACCAATTTGCTCTTGCAGCTGGCACATGGCTAACATGCCATTTAGATCAAACAGTGAGTCTGTGGAATTCGGTCCAATGCGCTGCACCACAAAATGTGAGTATTCCTTATGTGGTGAAGAATCACAAAAAGAACCCTCGATGGGCTGACGCACTCTTGAGCTAGACCATCCGCCGTTGGGTAATGAGGCCTGCTTCAGCATACGCCATGTGCTCTTCTTGGTCTGTACGCGCTCACGATGCTCATCCTCATCCACGAAAGTTGTATTGTGGCCATACTCAATCTCCTCGCTGCGTCTGGTCGGCTCTAGCAAGGAAGGGCTGCTGTCGTTTGTTACCTCGTAATCACGAAATACGCCGTTGTCACCCATCCACTTATCGCTTAACGGACTCTTGGTCGCCTTTAGGCGCTTATTAATAAGCATCATTTTGTACGCCATGTCGTCGTGCTCGTTCTTCTTGTGCTCTCTGCGGCCCTTACTGTTTTTGTGCTTTCGACGCTGTTTTTTGTGCCGCCTGTGATTGGGATGCTGATGACGGGGTACCCCACGTTTCTTGTCGTATTGAAGCTTTTGCATCAGATGTGTGGGGTTGGAAAACAAGACACCGTTGCCGTCAACCTCCTGATCCAGATTATGCCAAGCGGTTAGACGTTTGCCAATTTCGGTGCCTCGCGTCTCAAAGCCCTGCAATATTTGTTGTGGGTAAAATTATGAGCATGCGTAGAAATTATATATTGGGGTATGATTGATACGAACCAAGGTGGGGTCACTAAAATCTGGTAGGTCGTTCAGTAAAAATGCGACTATAATGCAGGCCACGCAATAAACTGCAATTGAGACGACCACCAGGTATGGTCTCCGTGCCAGCACATGATAATACCAGTTCATCTTCTCCGAGTCGAAGCACAACATGCCGAGGCAGTAGAAGCGACAACGGAGTAAGCGCGAGAATGTCTTCCAAATTGAAAAGCCTAGATTATTCTCATCTTGTTTGGTTTTGTGACAGCTGCAGTCGCAGCGTGGGGGGTTTTGAGTAACCTTGAGCTTGAGGCGTTATGGCGGATGTCCTAGGGGTAGTGCTATTGTTGTTGTTTATGTTATAGATACTGTTTGGAGCTGCCTTGCAAAATATTAATTTAGCTGTGGCTTTTGCTCTGCGGTTCGGTTTGTTGTGATTGAAAATGAATTGATAACATTTTTTAAACGTTCGCGAAATAAATCTCAGGCAGAGAAATTAAACTAAAATAATTAAAAGAACGCGAATGCAAAAAAATGCGCAAAAACACAAGCAAAATGCACTAGAGATGTAATAAACATCGATTTAGTCCTAAGAAATAAGTCTTGATACTCGTTCGATGTATTGAACTATCGATGTATCGAACTATCGATGTATTCAACTGTATTTAAATTGAAATCAACTTAATATGTACTAAAACGTATCAGTTAATTGATTGATAACGTTATTTAAATTGAAAATTACCCGAATTTTTAATCGAAAAACAAACAAAAACTGCGACCTGAAAGGGCTAAGCATTAAGTTATCACTAATGCACTAATATCGTCGTGGTGAAAAATGCCGAAGACGAGAGTGTGACAGAAAAACAGCGTAAACCAGCAAGATTGATAGTTTATGATATTACATACATATATATGTGTAATTTTTCCACTCCCCTCATATTGTTTAAAAGGCATAATCTTTTCAATTTTAAGTGATATATTTTTTAACTTGATTCATATAATCAATTAAGGCCGATTCTTTTACAAATGCTCAAATTCGATAATGAACTAAATGAACAATTCCGATGAACCAGTTCGACTGACAAATTAGATTACTTGTTTCTCGTCACAGCTGACTTTTATATAGAAAGTAAACAATAAATGAAACTGTAGTCAATATGCGCCGCCGAGTGGGTCTAGGTGCCATACAGCAGCAAAAGTTGGCTGCCGAAAAATATAAGGATAAAGGGGCCGATTTGCAGGAATCTCAATTGGAGCAAATGACGAAACAAATGGAAGTTTTTCGCAATAAATTGGAAGAGTTTGCCATGAAACACAAGGAAGACATACGCAAAAACTCGCAGTTCCGAAGACAATTTCAGGAAATGTGCGCTGCCATTGGAGTGGATCCTCTTGCCACTGGAAAAGGATTCTGGAGTGTGCTTGGCATGGGAGATTTCTATTACGAGCTTAGCGTGCAGGTTGTGGAAGTATGCCTTGCAGCCAATCATAAAACTGGCGGCCTTATGGAATTAGACGAACTTCGCCGTCGTCTCATAGCCGCACGTGGTCAAAGTGCGGTTCATCAGGAGATTACAAAAGAGGACATACTCATGGCAGCAAAAAAATTGATCATTTTTGGCAACGGGTGTGAACCATGTCAATCGTTGTAATCGCAAATTTTAACAACTCTATATTTTCAGCTTCGTTGTTCACAAGCTGGGTAAGGGTAAATACATTGTCCAATCTATTCCGGGTGAGCTAAGCATGGAGGAAACCAACATACTCAGTGCTGCAGCTAATACGGAAAGTGGCTACGTCACCCAAAATCAACTCATTAAAGACTTGGGGTAAGTCAACAAAACCGACTCAACAAAACCGACAGTCAAATAATTTCGCTTTCAGATGGACCGAATACCGCACAAAACAAGCGCTGGAAAAGGTATTAGGCGAGGGCCTGTGCTGGATTGATAAACAATCGGATGTTGAGCCAAGTTATTGGTTTCCTAGCTTGTTTCCCGGTCGCAATGCACAAATCGCTGCTGCATAGTTACTTGTAAAAAAAATGTATATAAAACTATTTAACAATCTACTACAAAATATAATTGCATATACATGTTACAATAACTTTCCCAAGCCGTCTCCTGCAGCACTGTTCCTTAAAATCTCGTTTTCGGCCTGCAGCTCACACTTTTCCTTGTGTAGACTTTCGAATGCGCCCTCGAATTTCCTCGTAAGATCCTGTAAAAGCTCCTTGTAATGCGCTTTTAATTCCTTATATGAATTCAGATAGGTCTCCATTTTGGACTCGTAATCTTTTTTGCTGTGCGACAAAATTAAATTAAATTTAAATGAAAGTCCTGCAACTGTACTTATAGTATGCGCACTGTTGTAAGTGATGCGTTTCATCATTAAAGGCAGACTGCTCCAGTTCTATTAGACGCTTGTTGCAAGACTCCACTTGCTTTTCGAGTTTTGCGTTTTGATTGAGAGCTTCTTTATATTTGAGGGTAATACGCTCATTCCGAGATTCCAGGGTTAGCGTTGCCTTCTTGTATTCCATGGCTTCAAATTTAAGCTGCAATGGAAACTCGTACAAGAATAATGCATTTCATAAAAATCTCCCTAACCTTTTCACGCAGCGATGTAATAGTTTTGTCCTTCTCTGCCAATTTTGTCCTAAGTTGAGCGACTTCACTGTCCACACGGTTAGCCGCCTCATCCATAATGCTGCCGATGTTAAATGCCAGATGGCTGGCTTCCTCCTTGTACGATTCAGCAAGCTTTTCAGCCTCCTCCTTTTCACGAACAGCTGCTTCGCTAACACTGAGCGCATCATGGATCTTGCGCATAGCCTCTACCTCACGCTTCTTACTCTCATCAAGCAAGGTTCGAGTTTTCATCAAGGATTTCTCAAAGTCCTTGAGTTGTTTATGTAAACTGGCTATCTTAGCGTGATCTTCTTCTCGAGTAGCTGCATCATGCTGGCGTTCCTTTAACTGTGTTCGCAACTGGTCGATCTGCTCACCACAGCGTTGCTTATGCTCATGCAGAGCTTTGATGAGATTCGCCTGTGTACGAATTTCCTCTTGTTGCTCACTCAACCGGGCTTCTAGCATTTTAACAGCTTTATTATACTTTTGCGCCATCTAAACTTACAATTTGGTATGACAAACGGTAAAAGCAAAGCATTCTGGTCCTGGAACAATACTCACCTGATCATTGCCTCCTTGTGGCAGCAGGGCACGATAATTGTTTAATTCGATCTCCATGCTTTTAATGGTGCGCTGTGAGCATTCCTGCAACGTCTGCAGACTACGTTGCTCCTTTTTTAGTGCCTCAATTTGAGCCATGGCTTTGACCAACGCATCGTTAGCAAAATGTAGTCTTTCCTGTATATTCTCACTGCTTTTGGTACACATTACTTTTTTAAATTTCCCCAGTTCACCGGTCAAGTGACGATTCTCACTTAATACAGCGCTTATTAGCGATCGCAGATCGGATTGCTCGACGCGAAAATTTTTCAAGTCCTCGTTGGTTTCCTTTATCAGTCGCTCCACGCACAATGCCACCTCGCCGGCACCGCTGTTTGAAACGAATGAAAATAAATTTGTTTGAGCCGGAATGTATTTGTGTGCTTATTATTTATCACACCTCGGGAACTCATAGGTTATAGCCTCCTGCGACATTTTAAATTTAAAAAAAAAAAATACGTTTTTCACGCTAAAAACTTCGAATTTCAAGGGTACTCCATTCAAGCAGCACCAATTCTATTTAAGTTAATTTCTCGGTGCAGCTGGCAGACTTTTTCTACTGTCACTGTTTGACAGCTCAATGACCTGGCAGCAGGGAGCAGATAGTACTCATATTTTGTACACACAGCTCGACTGGTTCGGTTGTGACCCAACCAAGTTGCCGTGGCAACGGCTTGTGGCAAAGCATAAACATTGAATTGGTCAAGTTTGTGGACAGTTTGCAGTTAATCTTGGAGATGCCGTTGTTCAACAAGAAATTCGAGTCGAAGCCCATTCCAGCTCGTGTGAACCGCTGTAATATTGGTTTTCCAGTTGTTAACGAGGAAATTGAAGATTTTCGAAATATCTCCTTGAGTTTGGGCAACAAAGAGCTGCGCTTCGCTGACGGCATTTGGATGCATTCGGCTCGCAAAGGGGATGTGGATGACATGCTGCGTTTGAACAAGAAATTTCGTGCCCTAGAGGAGGAGAATAATATGTGCAATTTGAAGATAGAGGTTATGCTGGATTTGCTAGCTGAGCATGCCACGGAGCTGAACGAGCTGAAGCCGAAGGACAAGTGTAAGTGTAAGAGCTTCATATATGAAGAGCCTGATAATATATTGAATTTTCCTTATAGAGCTAAACTTCAATTTGCCCGCGTGTCTATATTAAAGTCAAATAAAGAGTGGGTTTTTTATTCAAATACAAACTGTGATATTTAAATCCCGATAAGATAGTTCAAAAAACTCTCAATACTAAGTTTAAGGTTTCGATTGGATTATTTGGATACTCAATTGGATCGTTGGTGTTTCTTTGATATCGCAATGCGTATATATTATTTAATCAGGCAGCTAAAGGTCTATCATATAACGCTTGTTGAAACTTATCAATTGGTAAAGTATTATGCAGAGCTCTAACAGCACGGAATAGTGCAGCGCCTTGGCCGGCGGGCTGGCTTTGTTGACCAGCCCATTGGGAATTAATTTGGATTTGTTGGGCTAACGTTCGATGAATGGACGGGCTGGTCAAATTGTTCGCAGTATTGTCGCCATTGACAGCAATCTATAGACGCCATCGGGCTGCCGCTTGGCTCCCGCTATTTATTACGGTATTGATAAGCAAGGTAGGGCCAGTATACCGATAACTGGCGGCATTGATAGTAAGTAGAACCCACTGTGGCAGCCAAAATAAACAAATGACGAGGGTGCCGGCCATACAATACTTACATGGCTCTCTTACTTTATCTAACTCCCTCTCCAACTCGCTCGGTTCGGTTCACCAATATTGAATTACATTTTTGGTCGAGGCAAGCGATAAAGCTTAGAGCTGAATGCATCGCAGACGAAGTCTAATAGTCGTGTGTGGCCGCCTCTCTGTACATAGTCGTCTATGTACATAGCTGTGCCGATATCGGGACACTATATCGACTACTGTATATTTACGCATTTATATTGATATGCGATAAGCGAATCTGCTTATAAAACACATTTATTTAGTTGTTCCCAGCTATGGCGAGCACCTCGCTGCCGAGGGGTAACACTTGTTCGATTCGTGTATTACAGTAGTTTGTTGATAGCCAGCCGATCGTACGGACGCACACAATGCGGTCCCAGAGATCGATGTGCCCACAAAACCATACGAGTACTATTTACCCAGTGAAAAACAACAGCAATAACAATTGCTAGGAGAGGAAAACAAAAACGAGAACTATTCAATAATAACAATGAAAAAAACACATGTACAATAAAATGTTTGCACGCTTTGGGTTTGGATGCGCCTCTTGCGAATATGGCAATGTTTTAGCTTTGGGGTCCAATTGACTTCGTGATGTGGCATTAGGTAACAAAAGGCGCCTATATCAGCACAATGTGTCTGCTGCCGGTTTGGCGCATTCATCAGAAAAATAAAAAATAAAAATAAAAAAAAGTTCGATATCAGCAAGTTTCAGTTCGACGTGCTTCATGAAGTGATTAAGAACTAAGTAACCAAACAGTCGATCGTCAAAGTCCGTCATGGTCGTGTGTCCATTGTTTCTGGGCGCCTGTAACTGCGCGTAGTTTTGATTTTTCAAAAACGTTGCTTGCCATAAACAAATTGTCTATCAAGCAATAGATATTTTGTTGTATGAAACGAGCGCTACCTAATAAATGATACCATATAAATCAATTGAGTGAACGCCAATCAAATGGGGGCAACTGTGATAAATCTACCACACAAATGGATCATGCGGAGAGTAGCTATATAAACAGATAGTCAGTCGGTTAGTCGGTTCGTTTAGACAAATGTGTTTTATTGGCATTTGGTGCATCGAATCGATCCACATACAAATAAGTGTTAAAACGTGCTTCTTCTGGGAACCGTACCATACACACGCAAATGTGTGTTGAAATGATGTGGAATCCACTTCGCGTAACTCGGAATACTTTCATTAGATTTTCCATTTTACTAACCAATTAAAAACGCATTTAAATCAATTCTATTGAAAATAAGTGGAAAAGCAATTATCAAGTATATTTGATAATATGCATAAATAATTAACTTTTCAAATGGTATTTATATGCCTTGAATATTGGTTAAACTATTTCGCTTCGCTTACTATAGAAAATTCATTTCATTATATATATTTATGTATATTCATATCGATATTCTGACGTATACTCTGGGTATCTTGTGTTTTCATTTTTCGAATAGGGCATATATAAAATTTCGTTCGTTTCGAGTGTCTTCTATCAGCCCACGCCTTTAGTGGGTAGCGATTTGATAAGTGGGCATTATCGCTTTTATGATTTATTGTTGTGTTTAAATGGGGTCTGTCGCTATTTAATAATCATCAAAAAAAAAAAAAAAGAAAACACAATGCCATAATTTATATGTAAGCCAAGGATTTAAATGTACATATTTATGTATGTAGCACTTAAGTATGTGTGCGAGTGTACGTATTTTTTTTTCACTATTTGTATGTGGATCACCCGCTTTAAATGGCCAAGTAAATAAACAAAAGAAAATTGTACACTCAGCGGCCGCCAGCGCCCAATAAAATGTGTGAAAAATGTGTGCGAGCGGCGGTGAAAAATGCAACGTCTAAATAAATAAATAAGAACCTGAGCAGCATTGAATCGAGCACAAAATGTTTACTATAAAACTAAAAACAAATCGATCATTTCGTGTTAATGGCAAAACTTAATATCTAAAGCATTGTTAAAATAGCTTAATATAGTATATTTGAACTTGTAAAATTCATTTTTAGACACAACTAAATCATTTGTGCAATTTTTGATGAAACTTTGTTGGAATCTAATAGATATAGATAAAACTATACTATATTATGAGAACTAAAAAGTGAAAAACAATGTAAAGACTCTGTTAAAGCCAGTGCATACGATGTTGTTGACAATAATTGTGATGAAACAGCTGCGGCTGCTTCGTTTAGCAGCCATTTGGTTCTTAATTGGCATCTGTGCATTGCCCACGACGATTGGGTACTTTATTGATTATACAGGTAGGTGTAAAAGCTTAAGAGTATAAATTGAATTTTTACCTAAATCATATTTATTTTAATCTGTCTAACAATAACTGTAAGATACTCGACAAATAGAAGGGAAACGACAAAGAAAGGCTATCTTTGGCACGCCGAAGATCTAATACCCTTGCAGACCCAAACTTTTCATAATGCCTATAGTGCTAAGAAGCACAGGGAAAATAGTTAATGCCGAGTTTGGTCAAATTATCTTGATAAACAAAAAAGGTTTTTAATCAAAAACCTAGTTTTCAACTGATCGTTCCTATGACAGCTATATGATATAGTGGTCCGATCTTAATAGGCTTTTGCATATGCATGAGGAGCTTAGTAAAACTAATAATTGCCGAGTTTGATCAAGATATCTTGATAAACAAAATGTTTTTTCATACAAAAACTTAATTTTCGACCGATCGTTCCTATGACAGCTATATGATATAGTGGTCCGATCCAGCTGGTTTTGACATATGTGCTGCGTGCAACAGAAAAAGGGATTACTGCAAAGTTTCATTAAGATAGCTTTAAAACTGGAGACTAGTTCGCATAGAAACAGACAGACGGACAGACGGACATGGCTATATCAACTCGGCTGTTGATGCTGATCAAGAATATATATAATTTATGGGGTCGGAGATGTCTCCCTCTATGCGGTACACATTTCACGACAAAATTATAATACCCTCTGCAAGGGTATAAAAAGCCATGCATTTCTTTGGCAATTATTTAAACAAGGCTAGTTTATCATTTTGTTCTTTTTTTAGCAATGCTGCTAGATAAGATACTTTCTGAATAAGTAAAAATAAATTGATGATTCCCTTTTTTAACTGTTGTTTCGTATGATTGCATTTTTGACAGAGAACACGGAGCTGATACAACAACGTGCCGGCTACGACGTTAGGTTGCAGTGCAACCTCACGGGTCTGGTGGATGAGCGCAGGCTGCCGGATATAAGAATACACTGGTACTTCAAGGTGAGCATGATATAGTGTAACTGTCTCAAAGTTTGATAGATTTTCTTTTCAATATCAGCAATGCAGCGACAATAATTGTTACCAGCTGGAATCTGGCGATGACTGGACTGCACTGCCCTGCGACTCCACACTCTGTCGTCCAGAGCTTTGGCTGCGCAATGTGACCGAGCGTTACTCTGGCCTGTACAAGTGCAGCATTAATCCTCAAGTATGGGATGTGCAACTTATTCGCACCTATCAGCTGGAAGTGAAGAGTAAGTGTTGCGCAGGACATTGCCAAGAATCAGCTAATTTCTGTGGCTCCTTTTAGATAGCTCGCTAGCCGCACCGGAGTTTTTAGATGCGTATCCAAGCAATAAGACAGCTATTCAGGACACTCGAGTGGTGTTCCAGTGTCGCGTGCACAGCGAGGAGCACTTGACTATTAAATGGTTTAGACGGCATGGATATGCTGCATATATGCCGGCGCCAGAGACGCCTCAGTTCCCACCCGGCACTTCCAATTTCAGTGCACATATTGTACGCTACAATGGACGTACCTACGAGCTGCTCCCTACATCTCCGGAAAAGCTAATCAGTCCACAGATCTATCTCAGCAAGCTTATATTAAACAACGTGCGGCTAAGGGATGCCGGTTACTATGCTTGTGTGGCAATAAGCTATCGGGGCCACAAAATAAGAGAAGCCTATCTAGATGTATTGCCACCCGACGAGAATATGGAATACTGGGTGGACTACAGTAATAGCGATGAGGTTCTCACTGAAGATACCAGCGATCCTCGCGAATTCCTCTTGTTGTTTCTCATGCCACTTGGCTTAGCGCTGCTGCCGCTCAGCGTTTGGGGTGGATACATGATCTACAAGCGCTGCACCCGGCATGGCGAGTGTGAGCGCATCGAACAGCAATACTCGGATGAGGAGCTGGACACAGAACGCTACGTGCTCGGCGGCAGTTGACAATGTTGGCTATTTTCACATTGCGCATGCGCTTACAAGGTGTGGGATCAAAGACTGTGCTTAAACTTAAGTTATAATATGTACAATAAATTACAAATAAGTTTGAAAATTATTTGGCGAATAAGTTTTTCCTATTTCTCTTGCCATTCGGTGGATTGTGTTTGAGACGAACAGAACGTACAGTTCCTAGTAACACATTGTTTTGTCAAAATTTACTATTTTTCATGAAATTCAAAATTATTGTTCGCCTTCCAGTTCCGGCAGAACGTTTCTCATATAGCCAGCGAGCAGTCAAGCCCATTGAGCGACTTTTAAGCTGATTTGTGTATTACCGTTGGCCTCTGATGATCTTTGAAATATATCTGCAGTTTTATCTGTTGCGGCATAACGAGGTGCGTATCTACTTTTTGCGGCTGTGCCTTAGCGTTGTGAACCAGAGCGCGCCTATAGAAAGTGGTGCTATCCAGGAGCAATTTATAGAGGAACAATCACATTGAACGCGCCGTTGGGCAGACTTGCGGGCGGGACGAAGAGCACGGGGGACAGCAACGTCGAAAGACTACATAAGACTAGAGGTCACCATGTCGAGTCATAGTTATCGCACCACCACCGTAGAGTATTACGAGTATCTGATGCCGGAATCCCGTGAATACGACTTTGAATCGATACACTGGCCTTTGCATGCTGCTATTTCGGATAGCTACGTGACGCGACCACTTTGCTCTTTTAACTATCTGACTTATCTGCAAGACCATTTGGCAATGGCTGGCGACAACAATCAGCATAGTGAGCTTATCTACGACACGGTTCAATGTCCCCAAAGGCAGACTATATATGAATTTAGTGATCAGGAGGAACCACATTCTACATACGCGTTGCCTAATCAAACAAATGAGGATCAAGCAGCAGATATTGCCAAGGAACATGAGCGTGAAACTGGGGATGGAGACGCTTCAGCATCGGAACCACATACCGAAGAAAAGCATCGTGGCAAAAAAAATATCTACCGCACAAAGCAGGGCTATTTGGTGGAGGAGCCCACCAGCGAATCCGAGGAGGACCAAGAAGGCACAACGTAGACTTTCTGGCTAATCAATAATATTTTTGGATGGATGGCAGGCTTGCCGCAACGCATTGAACGACATAATATCAGTTCGAATAATTGTGTTAGCCGTTACGCTTATGTTAATATTTAAATGTTAAATGACCAGAGTCCTGATGCCCATGTACAGAACATACATATATATTTTTGAACATACACATATACGCAAGCACATACATATGCATATTTTTTATTGTTTCTTTGTTGTTAAACGTAAGCCTGCTGAAAAATAAAAAAAAACCTCTTACCTATATGTTCTTTCTATAAGCCTAACAAGTTGTTGCGCTCTTTGGCTTTGATCCAAAATGCGCGCGCTTAAATTTCCTATTGGGTATTTGTGTACGATGGCTACATAATTTGATTATTAGCACATGTTTGGGTACACTCTCACAATCAATGTGGCTCTCACTCTCTTCGGGGTTCACCTCTCGCTCTCTCTCTCTTTGGAGCCAAGTTGCCTATCAATTCTCGTTCAGTTGTCGCGTAGAGCTCACTGCTGTATGACGTGTCGCGGTGCGTTGTTTGTGCGCTTAAAAGCAATAACAGTTCGGACAACAAACAAACAAAAACTATTTTTAGGCTGTGAAAATATCAAAGTGCTGTAGTGCAAATAAGCATATATGTATATACATTCATAAACTGCAGCAGCAAACAAGACAAAATGTCGCCTTTCGACTGCAAATCACGGCGTGGCACCAAAATATCTGTTATATTATTGGGCAGCGCCCTATGTATTGTAATGATGGCTTACTTTGTGTTTGGCGACAGCAACGATGAGCAGGGCTTGAAAAAGCTACGCATGATATCAATTGTGAGCATTAGCCAAACAACAAATTAAGATGCGCATATCAAGTATGTCATTTACATATGTTTCTGCAGCTGTTTCGCCATGGTGCCAAGAATCCGAGTGGCTTCTACCCAAATGATCCACACGCGGCGCTCGAGTGGCGGGAAGGCCTCGGTGCACTCACACAGGTGAGAGAGCGACCACAATAGTGTTAATGTCAGTCTAAAATGATTCGTTGTCTCTACAGAAGGGCACCCTGCAATCATATAAGTTGGGCCAAAATCTGCGCATGCGCTATTATCGCCTGTTGCCCTCGAACAGCATTTACACACAGCAGCAAGTGCATGTTCTAAGCTCCGCCGCGGAACGCTGTGTGGTGCGTGAAAGTCAAAAATTATTGTCTGATGATAAGAGAACTGTGTGTCTTATCAGTTGGTAGTTATCTTTTAGATGAGCGCTCAAAGCGTTTTGGCCGGACTGATGCCGCCGCTGGAGAACAACAATGTGCTGCCCATACCCTGGCAGCCGGTGGCCATAAACACTCTCGCTCGCAATGATGACATTGTAAGTTTTTCATCTAGCAAATTTACATTGATATTGAGAGATTTTCTTATCAACCTACAGCTGTTGGCGCAAAAGAAGCCCTGCATCAAATATGACACAATATTGCAGAAACTATACAAAACTCCGCCTCCAGAGCTAGATAAGCTGAACGAGGACAACAAGGCGCTATATAAACTACTCAGCAAGAACACGGGCAAGGTTAACAAAACATATAAGAGACTCTTCAAGCAACTCATTTTCAAAATCTTGCAGAATATTTCCAATGTGCTGGATGTGGAACTGTTGTATACCACACTAAAAACAGAAGAGGAAGTCAGTCTCGCTCTGCCCGATTGGACAGAGAACATATATCCCGAGGAAATGCGACCGTTAGCTGAGCGCAGCTACACCTTATTTACAGAGACACACCTCATGAAGCGCATTAAGGGTGGCGCTTTTCTTACCGAAATACTCAAGAAAATGCAAAACAAACGCAGAAAGAACTTGAATCCAGATCGCAAAATATTTCTGTATTCAGCGCATGATGTAACGCTTGTAAATGTCATGAATTCGCTGGGCATTTTGGACCAGACGGCAAAGTTGCCGGAGTATGCCTCAGCATTGGTCTTTGAGCTGCATCACAGCAAATCTTTCGCTGATGGCGATTTCGAAGTGAAAGTAAACTATCATCAGACATGTTTGTCTTAATTTGACTTTAGTCTAATATATTTGGTCTTCACACAGCTGGTATACTACTTCAACAGCGAGGACAAGTTCCCCAAGGAGCTAACAATCCCAAATTGCGATGCACCCTGTTCGCTAAGTCAATTTGGTGCTTCGCTGGAGCCTCTTTTGCTAGATAATTATGATGATACCTGTGAGAACCCCCTAACGGACTGCAAGAATTAAGTTAATTATTTTATGTTTTGTTATATTGAAAGTATTTTAAAATGTAGCTATGTTGTTATTGTTGGAGAATATATATTATTATATATTCAAAAAACATTCCTGAGCGCAACATTTCAAATTCGGAATTTTTTATAATTAAATTCAAAATCTGGACCCCTTATCTTCGGCATATAAAAAGTAAATTGGTACCTCCACCGTATCGCTGACACGAACAATTTCTTTATGGCTTATTAGGCGAATTGCTGCAAGTCCATAGAAGAGCATAGGAAGGCCTGCGACAGGTACGAATTGATTTACTTGCATATACTTATCCTTTGATGCACTCACCTAGATTGATCACTTTAAGGAAACGAAAGAATTTGTCCTCTAGTGTAAGATCCTGTACTTCACGTTTGCTACAGTGATATTTCATGTACGGATAACAGCCTGTGCGTAGTATATGATAGTTTGTGCCTGTGTCAAGTGTCCAATTGAAGTGCGACATTCCCCGTTGATCATTCTGAACGTCTTTAAACTTAATTGATGGTGTTAAGGATTTGTTAATTCCGCTGTTTCTTGCTTACTTTTACGAAATATGATGTCCAAAATGGTTCATGACTCTGTTTTAAATATGCTGTCAGGACCTCGGAGGCTCGGGGCTTCAGCAAAATTCGCGTAAGTTGCATTCTTAAACAAGCGCAACAGTTTTATTGCATAAAATAACATCAATGCATATGTATCAATACAAACATCTGTTTTGTTCTCCAATGTTGCCAGACTTTCCATATCGATAACTGCCGCGTTATCTATATGCGTTGCCCAACACATTATATGGCGGACTTTTTAAATTTATAATAATTAAATTAATTTCAGATCGCACTTAAATTGGACTTGGCTTGTGAAATATGTAAGAAGTGTGTCTCATTCTTCAATAAGCCGTTTTCCAAAAGAAAACATACAAACGGAACATTTTAATATGCTGCCAATTCAAAATGAGCGTCTGTGGAAATATGAGTCGGGTTCTGATGAACGTACTCAAGTGAAAGCTGCGCTATCTGAAATCCTTAACAAAATAGAGCCAGTGCCATTCGTAATAGACGGCAAGGAGCTTTATAATAAATGTGAGCTAGTTCAGAGGGTGCCTTACAATATACACCATTATATAGCGCGGTATGAATATTCATGTAAACAAATCATAATCTATTCTAATCGGATAATCCCAAAACATTTACAGTTATAATCACGCCGATCATAAAGTTATTCATCAGGCAATCGATTCGGCTACCAGGGCGCAGCAAACGTGGGATAAGACAAAGTTAAGTGAGCGCATGGCCATTTGGGATAGAGCAGCCGATTTGATAGCCAATAAATATCGTTTGAAGATTGTGGCGGCAACGATGCTTGGCCAGGGAAAGACACTGTGCCAGGCGGAAATGGATGTCGCTGAGCTGGTGGACTTTATGCGCATCAATCCAATTTTTCTACGTGACTTGGCAAATTACAAACCACTTAACAGTCGACCAGAAGCCTATTGCAATCATATGATATTACGCGGTCTTTCCGGCTTTGTAGCCGCGATCAGTCCATTCAACTTTACCAGCATTGCTGGAAATTTGGCCTATACACCCGCACTGATGGGCAATGCAGTGCTCTGGAAACCTTCAGATTCTGCTATTCTATCCAACTGGTATGTGTTCCAGGCCATGCAAGAGGCAGGTGTACCAGACGGCGTAGTAAACTTTGTCCCAGCCGACCCGACAAAATTCGCTCGGACAATAACGCGTAATAGCAATCTAGCCGGTATTCACTTCACCGGCACGTCACCGGTACTAAAAGTGCTCTGGAGGATGGTTGGAGAGCGTATTGACACCTTTAAGAACTATCCACGCCTAGTCGGTGACTGTGGCGGCAAAAATTTCCACTTTGTGCATCCCTCGGCAAACACAGAGGTTGCAGTAGCCTGCACCATACGAGCAGCGTTCGAGTATGCTGGGCAAAAGTGCTCCTCCTGCTCCATGCTGTACGTGCCCGAATCTTTGTGGAAAAGTGAGATTGAGACAGCCCTGCTGGAGATAACACGCAGACTGTTTATCAGCGATGCTACCTACTGTGACTGCTTTTACTCGGCGGTCATTGATAAGAATGCATATACACGCCTGTTTACATATCTAAACTATATACATAACAACGCCAACTGTGAATTGATACTTGGTGGCACATGCTCCAAGGGTCGCGGCTACTTTGTCGATCCTACCATAGTGCTTGTAAGCGATCTCGACTGTTGTCTGTGCAAAGATGAACTGTTAGGACCCATTCTCTGCGTCTATGTCTATAAGGATAGTGATTTACATAAGACCATGGATAAAGTTGCGGAAATTAATCACGGCCTGACGGGCTCTGTCTTTGCCATGGACGATGAGTTTATTAAGGAAGCTTGCGAAGCGTTCAAATCCAATGTGGGTAACTTAAATATAAATGACAAATGTACGGGCGCCATGGTGGGACAGCAACCATTTGGAGCTGGCCAAATGACAGGCACCAATGAGAAAATGGGAAGTCCACAGTATTTGCTGCGCTGGACATCGCCGCAGGTTATTAAAGAGTCCTTTGTGCCGCATGTAAATGTTTATTATCCCTATATGGAGATCAGCGATACTATACAGGACGTTAAGAAATTAATTAAACCTCAGGAAACTGATGATTCTGACGATTATAATTCGCATAGAACCGAATAAACTTTAGTCTTCAGCAAATTCTTGTTAGTGAAATTACTTTAAAGTTAAACAATGGATGTGGGATTTAACTACGACTGTGTTTGTTCTTAAATAATTTAGTTCTTTACTCTTAGATATATATACTAATGAAAATGGATATTCTTTTTAATATACCTAGTTATGAGTTATATGTCTGATAATCAGTGAACAGTTTTTCAAAGGTTCTGAAAATATTTGTACACTACGCTTAAAAAATTTGAAATTTATGGTGCTGCTTGCCAAATGTTGACATTATATTGGTGGCACAAAATGAGATGTCTGGTTGGCATGAGCTGCAGCACGAGTTTCGAATAACAACCATATACCTGTTGCTGATTCTCTCGATTCCCACCTCAAACAGCGATAGCAAAATAAAAGAGATAGCCAGTACGCCAGTCCATCTACCCCAGAGCCAGACGGCCACGTTGAAACGAATGTCTGTCAACAAAGTCGATATACCTCGGCTCTACTCTGCATACCGGGTGCTATTGAAGGAGAGCGGCTCCGATGTCAAACTCAACGTGGGCAAACTAGGCAAGAGAACAGCTGTGGCAGATGAGGAGGATGATGATGCGGTTAGCAAAGGTGTCGAAATTCTCAAGGAACCTACAGGGGTGAATAATACGGTGAAAGCAGCCACAATAAATAAAGAACTTCAAGATAAGGCAAATGGAACTAAAACTATACTTGATGCAACAGGTGATCGGGAGGGGACGAATGGTAAATGTGTGCCGGTTGGAAAACTCAATGATGTGGAGGACGAACAGAACGATAAGGGGAAGTCGAAAAATCCAGCAAGACATGGCGTGGTTATAGTTAAAATTGATGTGCCTTCCGAGACAAAAGCGGATTCCGAAAAGGACTTGGGAAGAGGCGCACGGCCTCAGGGCAAAAAAACTGAAATGGATTCAGCTGAACTGCGAATAGCAGAGTTGAATCGGGTGTATCAGGATTTTGTGAATGCCTGGAAAAGGCCTACACCGGAAACAAGGGGCCACAATTTGCTTGGACAGAAGAATACATTTCCGGCCAGGCCTTTTCGATTAAGTGCACTAAACTCCCTAATGAACGTTGTTGAGAATCTGAAGCAGTCGAATCCGGTGGATGAAATTGTCAAGGCAATCAATGATGAAATGAATCCGGAAAAAGAAAGTCTCATCGGTTCCATTAAGCTAAATATAAACAATAATCTAGCGCCAGCTAGTCAAAATCAAGAGAAAAACAAAAGAATTAGCAGCCGATCCTCAAAAATGTTTAAGCGCTTGGCTCCTAATGTGGCACCCGATATTAAGACCGGTGGCCTTTATGAAGAGTACAAGAAAAAACTGAATGGCATTCTACAGGCACACAAGCATCCGCGTAAATCCCTTGTCAAAGAAGAGACAGTACCTTTCCATAGTAATTCAGCCGGAAAGCATAAGGAGCTGACCCTGTGTCACTGTGATTCTGCGAAATCGCTAATCATGGCCGTCGACAGTAGTGGACCGAAGGTATCCAAGGAACTGACGCCATGCCATTGTGAGGCCACAAGACACACCAACTTGGCATTCGAAGGGGATACGGTTAAAATATCCAATGGCCTGATTCCCTGCCAATGTGCAGCCATGAAAAGTGCCAGCTTGGCCGACGTGGTTAATTCGTGTTTATCTGAAACAGGCAGGAGCACAAAGGAGAAGAGCACGAGTACGCAGATGAACAAGGAAAATAAGCTGAATGGCGGCCTTAAACCATACTATTTATCAAACTCAAAGCACAGGCAGATGGTTTGGAATGATGTGCCTTTGATAAGGCCCGGAAGTCAAAGAAAAGGTAAAGTTGTTAAGCCGCAGATATTGTCCGCATCCAATGGTAGGATGAACCCAACTATAATCAATATGAAGAGTCGTGCTCCAAATGCCGCATCTAAAACTAAGCCAAAGGTCAAAATTGAGCAGGCAGTCTCTAAAAGTTTTTTGCGTAAAAACGCGACACACTCCGCTGCATTTATCAAGAATCAAAAGCAGCTGCAGCACATACTCAAAGTCTTTCAGGCCAAGCATCGCTCTATGAATGTAAGAAAAACCTCAAAGCGCGGCTTGATCAACTTGGCCAACGGGTTTGATAACACGCCTGCCCATTTGGCTTTTCCGGAAGTGCTCGTTAATAAGTTTGGGCAGACGCAAGATAACGGCGGCAGAATGATTGAGAATATGGCGAAGCAGTTGAATGTGTCGCCTGTGGAGATGGCTCAGCGGATTGCCTCGTCTAGTAGTGCAGGCAGCTATCCACTGCAGGCCAACTTAGGTAAGTAGTTTGGCATTTGGCACATTATTAGCTGACAAAGATTTTTAAAAAGCAAGCCAGACCAACGGATGCCAAGTATCAATGGCAGCATCAAGCCCCAAGATTGCGCCGTCAGCCACATTAGCCTGCCAACAGGGACCAACGGCTAATTTAGCGCCCATGTTAGAAAAGATTTTAAATCGACTACAGAGTATGCAAGATTCCAATTTTAATCAGGGTACAGCAGACAAATTGCCTTGTTGCTTCGCCGATCCAACTGACGGTTAGCAGACTACTAAGGTTTGAAATGCACATATTTTTTTTAAATTCTACTCGTATCAGGTGCTCCCTGTGAATTAACAGGCTCCTGGGAGTCTCTACTATTAAGCATTCGCATCAATATTAGAGATGACAACAAGATCGTTGTGCCGGAAGTCAAGCCGACCTGTTCCCAGCCCAAATTGCGTCGCTCCGACACCAATCGACTTTGGCGACAGTGTGTTAAAATGACCCCAATCGAAATCAAGCAACGCTTCGTATCATCTCAAATGAAAGTGCTTAATGTGACCATACAGGACACGCTGCCACCACGTCCGCGTGAAATGATGGATAACCTTACGGAATGGACATTCACGGGTCAAGCGGTCAATACTTTAGGTGGGCCGATATCGTTAACCTGTCGGAAGCTAAACTCCAATTTGATGGGAACCTTTCTGGGCTTTTGTCGTCGATGCGGTTGCATAGACACCATTTTCGGCAGTTGGACCTTTTGTCAGCCGTCACGGGATTGTCAGGACATAACAATGTCAATTTTTGATAGGCGGGACATTCTGCGTCGTTTTTCGTTAGACGATGCGCGTAGGGAACGATTTAAGGAGCAATTATATACAAAAAGCAAGTACGCCAAAATAGAGATGGAACGACAAGAATCGGAATTACCCACGTAACCGGCAAGACACACTAGTAACTTTATTAATTGCAGTTTTTTTGGTTCTATGTTATGTATTCATTTATTTTGATAACTAAGACGTTTCTTTTTTAAATAACATTACAGCTGTTGCCTTTTGTTGCGGTTTATAAAGGACATTGCATAGCCAATGGAGCGTTTGACACAGTGCTCGTCCATGTCATTGCCTGTCTTACACTGCCTCAACTGGCCCACCACATAGTCTACGACTCTGGTTTTTAGTTGCTCGTTGTCTATGCGCTCCAGACGCTTCTCAACTTTGTGTATGAGCAGATAGGCTTCTGGATAATCGGCGACATCACAGGGCCACATCTCAGAGTGTCTATGAGTCCAGCTTGGTCGGACCTCTTCGTCACTCGTATTATAGTCCTGTGACTGCCGCCACGTGCCGGCCTTAGCCAGGGCAAATATACAGACAAGTAGAAGAATGTAAGAGAGACGCATTATATGAAAATGAATGAATGCTAAACTCAACTACTGATAGCACTATTGACACTGGCTTTTATACGGTTGATAATCTATGAATATTTTGCTGAATTTGCAGTGCTTTGTTAAGCTAGGGCTTTGCACTTTGAATGGCCGATATTGGTTTTGCTGACACTTGCAGTTCTTATCGCTAGTGTGCATGTATTTAAATCTAGTTAGGCGCGCAATCGCACATTGCAATCGCAATCGATAAGACTGCTTGTTATCGGCCGCAGGACAGCTGTTCAAAACTCGTTTGCCAACACTGCAATTGTGGACTTGGCAACCCTGCACGAAAACACTCCAACAAGAAGAAGTGAGAGCTGCAATTTGTTAATTAAAAACAAACAAATATAATTAAGCGCACTGTTTTGGGCAGAAATAACGCGCAAATGCAAGCAAAATGGGTAATCAATTGGTTGGCATTGCACCATCGCAGATCTATGCAGTGGAACACTACTTTTCTGGCCAGTTTGGCAATGAAATCATTTTCGACCTGAAGTGAGTACATATTTAACAGCTGCTTATTACACATAAGTGTATATATGCACATATGTGTTCATATGACGTCTTATCCACCCACAGTATGGGGAGTACGCGTTTTTTCAAAGTGGCAAAAGCTAAAACCGATGAAGGTTTGATAGTTGTCAAGGTATTTGTCAAACATGATCCAACCTTGCCTCTGGAGGATCACAAGGAACGCTTGGAGAGCATCAAGAAGACCCTATCGCTTGCAAATGCTGTTAACTGTTTGCCCTTTCAACGCGTGGAGGTTAGTCCACAATTAAATTTTTCCGTCAAGGTGTTAATGCGATCTTTGACTTTCCTGAACAGCTCATCGACAAGGCAGCCTATATAATGCGAGAGTATGTCAAGCACAGTCTGTACGATCGCGTGTCCACTCGACCTTTTCTTACTGTGCTCGAGAAGAAGTGGATTACCTTTCAGATTTTATGCGCTCTAAACCAGTGTCACAAGCAAAAAATCTGTCATGGTGATATAAAACTTGAGAACATTTTGATCACCTCATGGAATTGGATCCTGTTGTCGGATTTTGCTTCATTTAAGCCCACATATCTACCTGAGGACAATCCAGCAGATTATACCTATTTCTTTGACACGAGCAGACGCCGCACTTGCTATATAGCTCCTGAGCGTTTTGTTAAGACGATGTCGTCTGAAGACGATCCTTATAATGCAAATATGTCCGTTATTCACTCGGACTCCATAATACGTGTTCCGACTTCCTATGCTGGCAACACTTTGCAGCCTGCCATGGATATATTCTCCGCTGGGTGAGTTAATACATAGAACACATTCACAACATAAATGTATTAAGAGTTTTTCCATTCACAGCTGTGCCTTGCTAGAGCTCTGGACAGAGGGCACTGCTCCATTTGAGCTCTCTCAACTGCTCGCTTATCGGCAAGGTGAACGAGATCTCGTGGAGAAACATTTGGCTGGCATTGAGAACGAACGACTGCGCAACTTACTGGCATCCATGATTGACATTAATTCAATAAAGCGCAAGAGCGCAGAGGATTATTTAGATCAGGAGCGCGGTAAACTATTTCCAGAATACTTTTACTCATTTCTGCAGTCATATTTGCAAATGTTCTCATCGACACCAATCAAGTCGCCCGATGACAAGATACAATGTCTGCACAAAGATATTGGTCACTGCATTAAGGTGCTCACACAAGCACAGGACGTAACTCCCAGTGAGGAAGACGAACAGATACCAGAGAAAAGGGATCCTCTTAAGTACGAGCGACTGCCGCCAGATCAGGATGGTCTTATACTTATCATAACAGTAGTCACCTCTTGCATTAGAGGTCTCAAACAGTCCAACACAAAAATTGCGGCGTTGCAGCTACTGCAAAAGTTATCGAAGTATACTACATCTGAGACGATACTGGATCGTATATTACCATACATTGTATGTTACAGTTGAATTATCAAATATTTCATTTAACTCATGTTCTTTGCCTGCAGCTGAATCTGGCACAAAAGTCGACAGCCAAGGTACAGGTTCAGGCTATTGAAACGTTGACCGCCTGCTTGAGCATGGTCAAGGACATTCCTCGCAGCGATGCCAATGTATTTCCGGAATACATACTGCCCTACATCACCGACTTGGCTAGCGAATCGAGCGCTGTTATTGTGCGCGTGGCCTTTGCCCGCAACATTGCAGCACTTGCCAAGAGTGCTGTTTACTTTCTGGAGGAGACGCAGCGCAATGCACCAAACGAAATGCCTACGCCACGATATGAGGCTGAGCTGAATGCTCTGCATGATATTGTGCGGCAGGCGGTGCTCAGTTTGTTGACAGACACGCAGCCCATTGTCAAACAGACACTGATGGAGTCGGGTATTTGCGATTTGTGCGCGTTTTTTGGAAAGGAGAAAGCGAACGACGTGATACTCTCGCACATTATGACGTTCCTCAATGACGATGATAAGAATTTGCGCGGCGCTTTTTATGACAACATTGCTGGTGTTGCTGGTTACGTGGGCTGGCAAGCATCGGATATACTGGTTCCCCTTTTGCTGCAAGGCTTCACCGATCGCGAGGAGTTTGTCATCGCAAAGGCCATACGTGCGGTGACAATTCTAATCGAGTTGGGCCACATAAGAAAGCCCACCGTTACTGAAATTGTAAATGAAACCGCCTGCTATTTGTGTCATCCAAATTTGTGGGTGCGTCATGAGATTTGCGGCATGATTGCCACAACAGCACGCAATCTGAGTGCTATCGATGTGCAGTGTAAGATTATGCCGGCCATTGGAAGATTTTTGAAGGCGCCGCTTATACAAGTGGACAAACCGCATATTCTGCTTGATTGTCTGCTACCGCCTATACCCCGACAGGTCTTTGACAGCGTGCTGCGCTTCCAGGACGTTCAGTGTTTTGTCAGTGCTCTCGAGGACCGTGCTCGCTTACGCAACAATACACGACACTGCGCCCAGCCTCAGTATGATGACATAAGCAGGCAGATTGGTGGTGCACGGAACAGTGGCCAGTCACAGTCTGATGACATGGGTCAGGCGCTGCTCAATGTAAGTGCTTTGGTAATTTTGGTTGTTCCAAGTGGACCACTCACATTTCCAAAACACTACAGCTCTTTCGACGACTTATCTCGGAGGGATTGACGGAGACTATTGAGATGCAATTGTTGGCTATGAAACCTTTTTTGATATCCCTTAAGCACAAGGCGCAACAAGATCTTGATGATGCCAGCTGTGCCAATGGACGGATTGTGGTCAGCCGCAAGCAGGTGGGCTGCCATGAATATCCCCTGGCGGAAAAGGCTACTAAATTGACCCAGGACAATCGTAAGATTTAAACTAAGTGCTATATCGACTTTCAGATTTGATAAACATAGTCTCCACCTAGGAAATACAGATGCTCCAGCACTTGTTTCACCCGCGACAGATGCGGCTATTACTACACACATAACTGCTGGCCCCTCCGGCAGTCCCGCCTCCGGCGCCATGTTACTGGGCGTGCCGCATACAACAGTAAGCACTGCCACTTCATTGGGTGAATATACCATGCCGGATCGAAACTATTCGCTAGATCGCTCTTCGGAGTGTTGCAAGGACTTGGAGTCGCTGACCCTTAAGATCAAGCGTCGCTATAATGTGCTGGCACTCTCCCAACGCTGCAATTATGATAAGCTGGTCACGCCATATCCATCCAATTGGCGCCTCAATGGTACGCTAGTTGCGCATCTGCATGAACATTCCGAGTCGGTAATTAAGCTGGCGCCGTTGCGTCCTGACGGTTCACTTTTTGCCAGCGGCAGCATCGATGGCACAGTGAGATTGTGGGATTGCAGCAAGCTAAACGGCAATCAGGGCATAAATAAATCTCGTCAGGTATATTCTGCTCATACGCCCATTTATGCGCTGGCCGCATGCGATGCTGGACAATCACTAGCGGTGGGTGGCAAGGATGGCAGTCTATTAATAATGCGCATCGATCGCAATTCCACCAAGATGACCCTACAGCAAGCCTTGGATCAGAAGTAATATAGACCAATCTTTGATTGCACATTTGACATAATTTGCTTTTTCATCTTTTTGTAGTGAATATAACGATGGACCTGTTGTGGATATGCATGCGTACGATCAGGCGGCTCAGAGTGTTATTGTCTATGCAACACTTTATGGCGGCATTGTGGCCTGGGATACGCGCATGCAGCATAGCGCCTGGCGTTTGCAGAATGAGCTGCGTCATGGTGTCATCACCACCATTTGTGCGGATCCAACGGGCTCTTGGCTGGCAACAGGCACCAGTGGTGGCAAGCATATCTGCTGGGACTTGCGTTTCCGACTGCCAATAACCGAGATAAAACATCCGGCGGACTCGTGGATAAGAAAAGTGGCATGCCATCCAACGGAGCCATCATATCTGATCTCCGCCTCGCAGTCCAATAATGAAGTATCTGTATGGAACATTGAGACGGGTCAACGACAAACTGTGCTTTGGGCCAGCCCAGCGCCCGTTCTGACTAATACCAGTCTCAATGATCCAGCAACAACTTGTGGTATTTTGAGCGGTGTGGTCGACGGTTCACCGTTCATTTTGACAGGTAGTTCGGATCAGCGTATCAGGTACTGGGACATAGGATCGCCAAAGAACTCGGCATTGAAAGTGCCAGCGGCAAATGATAATTTGTCCAATGTGTCCTTTAACTATAGGTATGTACTCATATGGTTGATATGCATTTAATTATTCTCCCAAACCCTTTCTTATATGTATGACTAATTCTAGCGCTCGTCTAATCGACGGCAGCCAAGTTATTGAAGAACAAATCATTCCTAAAAACGGTACAGGCGACTCGCAACAGATGCGTACTTCAATTGAGGAAAGTCCCAGATCGGGACCGGATATGCCCAAAGCAAGTCATCATGATGCCATCACTGACTTGCTCATGTGCAAAGATAAGGGACAAATTTATATAGCGTCGGCTTCGCGTGACGGTGTTATCAAGCTCTGGAAGTAGTAACTTATTTTAACTCTTTTATCTGTGATTAGTCTAATTAAACTACAATATAACTTATATATACCCGCATTTTGGATTCCCACATCGCACGTTAAAATTCAAATTCTTTGTTGCACTGTAGTGCATCTGTACATTAATTGGCGGCGCTGCCAGACCGTTAAAAACTAAAACGGCCTCTTACAACCAAACTACGTACTAAGCGACTTCAGCGTGTTGGCAACGGTAAATTATTGCAGACGCAATGACAACCCTACAAAAAGACGCCGCGGCCAACTTCACTTTTTTTTGACATCTGCAGCTGGCGCTGTTTTTCGCTTTTGTATCTTTGCAAGCGCCGTTATGAGCAGAGCGGCCAAGCGCCATAAGTCCAAGTGAAAAGTGAGTTTGTGAGGCAACGACGCTATAGTATACAAAAAGAATAAACAAAAATCAAGTATATCTCACAACTAAACAACTCAGCAGTTCAAATATCACAGCGGAGAGCGCAAATAAGTCAAAGTACCAATATCGAAATACAAAATATACAACGCACGGCAATTAAATCGCGCACGCAGTCGCTGTGTAGCAGGACAACGCTAGGGTCGACAAAAACAACAACAACAACAACGACACAGCCAGCGCACACATACAAGCATTTCAAAATGGCGCCAATTAAAGGTACCACTCGCACTGCTGCAAGCAACCAGGCGACCATAAACGCACTTTTGCCCATGGCAGGCGTACGAGGCAAGGGACTGAGCCGTCGGGCGGCCAACAGTGGCATTGATCCAAATGCAGAGAATATGCAGACGCGCGGTAAACGCAAGGCCGATAATAGCCCCATCAAGAATGATAAGATCAAGCGCTCGGCGCTGGGTAATTTGACCAACAATGTTAAGATCATGACGCTGCATCCAGGCGACGAGGACTCCAAGCAGCAGTTGCCCAAAAAGCCGACGGCACAGCAACTTCAGGCGCTTCTGGATGCAAAGACTATTGACAATCTAAATGTTTTAGCTGCAGTCACTGCTCCACTCCCTGCTGCTATGCCCAACAAAATAATGACGCGCGCCTCAACCAAGACAGAGGACTCGGTGGAGAACTGCCACAAAGTGCTGGACAAGTTCGAGGAGGCGTTAGCGCGTCAAAAAACACGCAAGGCACCAGTGGCAGCAAAAAAGCCGGCCACAGTGCTAGTCGAGCCAAAAGTTGCGCCCATGCAGGCGCCTGTTGTCCAAAAATTGGCTGCACCGCCTCCGCCGGCTGCCGTCAAGCCGGTGCGCCGCATATCAAATGACTTTAATAAGACTGAGGAGAGCCTCTATATGTCCGCCCTGGAGGACATCTCCAGCTGCGAATCCATGCGCTTGTCTGGCAATTTTGAGGCAGCGCGACGCCTCTCTGCTAAACTGCAACTAAAGACTGATCAGCCAAAGGCAGCACCGGCGCAGCAATCGGTGCATATGGCAGCAGCTGCTGCTGCTATGGTGACGCCTGTTCGTCCCGTGCCCGATGATGTGGAGGACTTTGACCGCAAGAACTGGGATGATCCCTTCCAGGTGTCCCACTATGCCATGGACATATTTAATTATTTGAAATTGCGCGAGCCAGAGTTTCCCATTCACGATTATATGCCAAAGCAGGTACATTTGACCACCTGGATGCGAACGCTACTGGTGGACTGGATGGTCGAGGTGCAGGAGACCTTTGAGTTAAATCATGAAACACTATATTTGGCTGTCAAAATTGTCGATCTCTATTTGTGCCGCGAGGTTATAAACAAGGAAAAACTGCAGCTGCTGGGCGCTGCCGCGTTCTTCATTGCATGCAAGTACGATGAACGCCAGCCGCCACTAATTGAGGACTTTCTGTACATATGCGATGGCGCCTACAATCACGACGAGCTTGTCAAAATGGAAATGGAAACGCTGCGAACCATCAACTACGATCTCGGCATACCGCTCTCCTACCGCTTCTTGCGCCGCTATGCTCGATGTGCCAAGGTGCAAATGCCCACGCTTACTCTGGCGCGCTACATTCTGGAGCTGTCGCTTATGGACTATGCCACCATTGGTTTTAGTGACTCGCAAATGGCCTCGGCCGCTCTCTTCATGGCACTGCGCATGCATGGCGGTGCCGCGAATCTGCACAAAAAGACCTGGACCTCAACGCTGGCCTACTACACAGGCTATCAACTGGCACAGTTTGCTGAAGTGGTGCCGGTGCTGAACGCAGGACTGCATAGGAAACCACGCGCCACCATCAAGACGATACGGAACAAGTACTCGCATAAGATATTCCATGAGGTGGCCAAGGTGCCGCTGCTTAGCAACGTGGAGCTATTCCAAAGCAATCTCGATCTGAACGAAAGTAACTCGTGCACCTGAGCCATACAATTGGGGGCCTTGCACTGCTGTAACGCCAATTAGCCAAATTGATAATGAGCAACAACTGTTACGCTTCACTAGACATTAAGACGCTTCAACCCATAACACCTCTAAAGAACCCTATCAGTCCAAATAGCAACCCCTTAACCAAGATATTCATATATTTTTATTTAATTTTTTCGATTTATTTTGTACTTTTTGCGTGTTGCTAATGATGTTCTATTATTGGTTAACATTTATGACTTTCTATAAATTTTATGTTCAGCATTCAGATTGTTTCCATTTATGTTTATTGTTTACTCTTCTTTTATAAAAAAAAGGCAATTAAGCAGGGTAGCCAGCACAACTGTCACCCAACCCGACCACAAGAACTAACCATTTACATATATATATATATTTAAATGTATACTATTTATAATCAGAAAATACCCATAATAAATTCTACACATATTTTAAGCATTTGCAACGCCAATGCCGTTTGATGATGTTAGACACCAAAGCTGACATGGATTATACGTTTAAACATTTAATACTACAATTCTACAGATCCTTACACGCGTAGTACTGTTAACAACTAACCGACGGCAGATGCTCTACACAGCTGGCCAATTCCCATTTATGTATGTAATTTTGTAGTTGTTGTTTTTGTTACCAATCATGACTTTTTATACATTGTATGTAACGGGAAAATTAATATTCCATTGTCTAAATAACTAGTTATGTATGTATTCGTATTCCATGTTATCTATATATGTATGGCTGTATGCATGTATGCAGCCGAGTCAAGAAAACCAATAAACAATCTTAATGTCCGTTCAAGAAAGTACATTTATATAAAGTTGGGGGAATGTGCAAGAGTTTAAGGTAAGTGCTTCGCATATAAATCCATATAGATGTCTATGTACATATATAATTTTGCATGTATTCACAGCACACCAACTATTTGGGACAGCTCTAGTTTCAATTGATTTTGTTCAGGTGAGTCTATTTCCCATGTGACACGCACATTCACATGCACATCAATAATCTATGTATTTGATTTCAGGCTCTGGTTTTTTTTGGCGCGCCCGTCTTCACATTTTAGCGCCAAATTATTTTGGGTTTTGCTTGGCAAGCGGCGCATGCGCCGCAAGACATCAGCATCGATGCCTGTTCCCGTTCCCGTTCCCGTAATCGTCTTTGTCCAACAAATCACTGCATACATAACCGATTTCTACCGCTGCAGTTGAACCTTAAAAGGGCAGGCAGCTAGCAGCAGCAGCCGCCGCCTGTCTGTCTGTCTGTCTGTCTCCTTGACGTTTTCTACCACCTTTCCTTGTCGGTCGCCGGCCGCCTGTCGTCCGTCGTCTGTCCTCCTCCCATTGTGCGCTTGTTCTTAATTTTTTTTGGCTGCCAGCGCTGCCTGCAACCAGGTAGTTTTATATCCATTGTGTGTTTCCTCAACGAAATTATGAGGCAACTGAAATGCATGTTACTTTTTTCCGGTTCGCAAGGTAGGGTGCGTTATGTACGTACAGGACAAAGGCAGAGTTGTCCTCGTGTTGATGTCGTCCTCTTCTACTTCTGCTGCTGCTGCTGTTGCTCAAGGTGCAACCGGGGTATATGGCTAATTACTTTGGTTGGGTGTGTGCAAAAAATCAAGTTTATTAAAGTACACACGGTCGAGCAGCTGCTGCTCCTAGACCTGACGCGGTAAGGTTAGCTTACACCTAACTTATGACCATACTCTAAATGTTATTTTTGTCTTTTTAGTAACCTGGCCTACTGAAGGGGCCATTATAGCCGCCACCAAAGCCGCTGCCATAGCCCTGGGAACCGTGATTGTTAAGCACATCGAATGGTCCCTTGTGCACACCATCCTCTGTGTACTCGGTTTTCATTTTGAAGCTATGATCCCAACGATCACGTTGCCCTGGTGATGCATGTGGTCCATAGTTATGTTGGTTCTGGTAGCTGATGGGTGGCGCTCCCGGGTGGGTCACAACAGGAACATTTCCTGGAACGCCTGAATAGTGTGGAAATGGTGCTGTAGGTGGATAAGATGGATATTGTGGCAAATATTGGCCTGGATAGGGGTAGCCAGGCTGTACGGGCTGATAGCCAGGCTGGTGAGCTCCAAAACTTGGATAAACGCCTGGAGGATTGCTTCCAGTATGAGCGGTTGCTTGCGGATTTGTATTATGCGAATATCCATGGGGAAACGATGCAGGCAGCTGTGCTTGTCCCGGAATTGGTTGCTGACAACCGTTTGGTACTGAATTTGGAGCAGCGCCTGGTGTAAGACGTCCGCATATAGCTGGTGAGCTTTGAGGAACTGGATAGAGGCCGGACTGTGGTTGTCCAGCGGTGGGTAGTGCAGGATAATTTGGATATCCAACAGGCTGTTGCTGTGGAATGCCCACAGCAATACCATACGGCCCAGGACGAGCATCAAAGATGCCGACACCACTGCCGCCGCTCTCGTGAGCGGACGGTGCGTCAATGTCAAGGGAATCACTTTGTTGCTGCCTTAGATCCGGATACAGTTGCGAGTTGAGACGCGCCCGCTCATGGTGACGATTGCTGGTAATGCCGCCTTTAAAAGTGGAGGCCAAGTTAAATTGGGTATTAGAATCCTCATTGCTTTCATCTCGCGAATATTGCGACGCGTGGGTCAGGCCAGCGGTCAGGGCTAATAGCAGCTCGACATAGACAATGCTCCAGCGCATGATGAAGCTTCCGATGGAACTAGACCCTAACAGCGCATGCTTCGTATATTTAAAGTTAATGCGATGTGAGCTTAGCTGAGTTTATGCCTGATGGGGTTATCGTTCATGTCATGTTCTAGACTGAGACGTTTTGTGTTTGATTTAGAAGTAAATAATAATGGCATTAGATGTTTGCAAAACCGAAGAGCTAATTCTCTTTTCAATTCTGAGAAATATACAAAACAAATATGTTGCGAAGCGTTCATTAAGTTCATTAATCAAATTTAAAGATGTCACAATTTTATGTATTAACGAGACAATACACTATGGTTTGGGTTTTCCCATGTTTTCTGGGCGAGCACATAGTTTGGTTCGCTAAACCTTGACTTTGTTTTGCAGAATCGAGAATGCGCAGCCCTGATACTTGCACCTAGATCTCTGCCATTCCATTAGCCTATTAATAATAGGATCATCAGCATTGTTGAAGGTTGATCATTGAGTAAACACATACATGTATATGTTCGATTATCAGCATGCTATATAAGTCTGACTTTTGTGAAGGAAGAGCGTCATATTAATTTTTAACACTCACAGAGATGCAACTCAACATAAGATTCTGCCTCCTGTCGCTGGCATTTCTGCTGGCTGCACAGGCCAAACCCACCTTTGATAAGATGGCTGAGGTGCTGCTTGGCGTACTGGATGATAGTCCGCACTACGCAAGAGCGGGACCCTATAGATCATACCCACCACCAGCACCGCTCATACAGGAGGGTTACGATCATGGCTATGATTACTATTATGGCGGCGGCGGTGGACATGTCCATGGCAATGGTGTGGTTGTTGGCAGTCCCTATTCCCAGCCCCCGCCACCGCCTGCATACGGCTACTACCCAAGACCAGCGCATGGTCCAGTAAAGGGCTACTATCCGGAACCGCAGTATCCACATGGCTATGCACCTACAGCACCTACTTATGGACAAGGCTATGGCAGATCGGGCGCAATAGGACCCGGAGTTGGCGGCTACAAGCAACATGGCTATTAAAATCCATTTGCATTTGATACATATTTTAGAAATTACTTAAGATTATAAGAAATGTTTTTTATACATAATTTATTTATATGACTGCAATCTGCTCAATCTACATATATGTTGTTATTTCTGGGCATCTCGAACTTGGTCACAGCTTAGAGAGCGTACACAATGCTGTACCTGGTGAAAATGGGAAAAAATTGAGCACCGAGCATTTCCGACTCCGTAAATTATATATGCATTTTCTTAGTTAGCATCAAGATTCGAGTAGACCTATTGGGGACTCTAGAGACTTTTAATTTGTAGATGAAATCGATAAATATCGGATTTCAGCCCCGATTCTTACCTCGTAGATTACGAGAGCAAGACTCACCAAATACATTGTATATATATAATTATGGAAGATCAATGCCATGACATTTCTACCCAGGAATGGAAAACATCGTATCAGTATTATAAGTAATAAAAATATAATCAGCACATACATAATTTTTATTGTTATTGCCCTCTTCTTACACATATATTTATCTGTTGTTTGTCAGCTCACAGAACCTGTTTATATAGCTCATAGCCCCTAGACATACGAAAGCGAACTTGAGTTCGAGCCGAATCTCAGAGAGCACTGAGCTTTGCCATTATTCAATTTTATTTGTGTTTATTAAATTGCACATTCCCTATAAATATTAATGTATAATTAATACCTCTACTTAGTATAAACAAACATACTGAAAGATCTAACAGATCGTGAAGCTCATTTTCTTCTACGCACATCGATTGAATCCGCTTGAAGTTCCAGGCCGGGGGCGTGCACGTAATGTAACGAATTGGGGAAGACAATGTCTCGCAGCCGGGATTGCTCAATCGATCTAGATGATGGCGTCGGTGCTGTTAGTGGCCCCAGAGGTGGACGATTTGTGCCCACAATAAGCGTGTCACCAGAATTTGGAGTGGGAGTAGGCGAAATTACAAGAGGCGGTGGATTTTTGCCAACTATCAGTGAATCGTGGGTGGGTTGTGTGGATGGCGCAGGGGCAGTGGGGCTTGGCGTCGTTGTTGACGGCGTGTAAATAGGTGGATTGGAGTTGGTATTCTGCACAGGTTCCTGGCCATCTTCATTCGTTGGCGGCAGTTGGAATGGCACATTTCCATTCCCCCAACTGGGGCGTGATGGATCGTAGTTATCTTCCCAACCCGGCTGTGAAGACCCGTCGTTATCTCCCCATCCAGAGGGTGGTGTTCCATTTCCGTCGTCCCAGCCTGGTGGTGGATTTCCATTTCCAGCTCCCCAGCCAGGTGGTGGGGGTCCGTTTCTATCTCTCCAACCAGGTGGAACTCCATTTCCCCAGCCTCCTGCACCACCCCATCCGGGTGGAGGTCGCCTTCCGCCTCCATCACTCCAGCCACCCCATCCAGGAGGATTTGGTCTGCCACCTCCCCAGTTACCCCAACCAGAAGGTGGTTGCCTGCCAACACCATTCCAGTCGCCGCCACCATTCCAGTCGCCGCCACCATTCCAGCCGCCGCCAGCATTCCAGCCGCCGCCGCCGCCACGTCTATTCATTTGGCCTGGTGGCGTACGTCTCCTGCCGCCGTGATGTTGCCTGCCATTCAATCCTTGTTGAAGTAACTGGGCTACTGCCGTTATGGCGCCGGCGGATGCCACTGCAGCACCAGCTGCTGCTGATGATCTTGCTATTGGAAATTGGCAACTACACGTGCGGATTAGGAGTAGAAGGCACGTTATCAAGGCCGTTAGCATATTTATTCGTATTCGCGTCATGATCACGTTGGAATGAATCGAGTTGGAGCGCCCATGCGCTAAGAGCAGCCAGTTCTAACTGAGGGGAAAGTTTTTGGCGTTAGGCGATAAGAGAGGCAGATGTTTCGGATTTGTATTCAAAACCTGTCCTCGGTTTGTTTGTCTGTTTGCGACTTGTGCTAATCAATGCATGATGAGAGATCGTGAGAGCTGCAAAAGATTCGCTCTCTAACGGAGCGTATTATGTGTATGTGTTCATCAAAACATTTATTGTAAACAAAAAGTCCAAAAAGCTTGAGAGGAAATAAGATGAGGGCAGCCGTTGACCGACGGCCGCCGACTCATGGATCCGCTTGAGCGGCTTCTTCCCGCGCAGTGCGTTAATCACGGACGTGCTCTGCATGTCAATATGCTTGATCCATCTGTTAACGTCCAAGTAATTCACAGTCATGCATTAAATTGTTGCTGGATGGATTGACATTAGCATTATGGCAGCAGATCTCTAGCGATCCAGGTGGCTAAATATCTAGACAGACGCAGAAATAAAACCATTAAAAGCATAATGTGTCATCGCTATCCCGACTGATCCATTCGCAGGGTATAAATAGAAGGGAACTGCGTAGATATATGGCCAGAACACAAACGAACCGCACACAACAAGAACCAGAACCAGAGACAGACAACATGAGAGTTCCTAGCATATTGTTCCTCTCCCTGCTGCTGAGCAACTGCCTGGACTTGGGCAACGCTCTGTTTTTCAAGGCACTAAAAGGACTGAAGGGAAGCGCTGGTTCGGGCTATAGAAGCTACAACTATGGCTATGACGGCTATTCGGCAAACTATGGCCATAACTATAACGGCGTATATGGTGGATACGGAGGTTATGATGGTTATGGCTATGGCTATGGGTATCCACAGCAGCCGTACAGGACAAGAAATCGACAGCGCACAGGACGCACCTACTCGGATATTGCTAATGTCTTACGGCCGGATCCCTATCTAGGACTAGGCGCGGGTCGTTATCTACCGCGTGCTCCATATTCCCATCTGTGGGGCTAGCATCTATAGTTAAAATTTGTGTAATATTACCAAGTTAGGGCAAATAAATCAGTGAAAGTTTTGTTTTCAAATAATTTAAGTTCAACTACAGCTTGTTGCGTGCTTTGTATGTGAAACTTTTTTAATTAAAGCTATTTTTAATTAGCTTTGCAATAACATTTATTATCAGACTAAACATATGTATGCATATATATATACCACATACAACATATATACCGAGCTGTAGCTGCTCGGCGCTACGTGACTGAAATGCGACTAGGTTAGGGAAGGGCGTGTCACGTAACTGTCACGCGAATCACGCTCTTGAAAATTAATCTGGTTGATTTTAATGTCAAACACGGATTTATAAGTATTAACCAGTTAACAATTTGTATTTACTTCTTTTATTATTAGTTGAAGCTGTGACTAGTTGAAAGAACTTTTATTTGCAATGTTTTTTTTTTTGACTCCATGGAAAAGGGGCAGGGGGCTACGAATAGTTTATAAGACGGGTTTTAAGTTATATAAGGTACACATCTGCCATAAGCAGAAGTGTATACAATTTAATTATTATTACTGAATAATTTTTTAATAAATATATGCAACACACACTCATGTCGGAGTTTCCCTAAGTCTAAATCAAACTGGCATTAAATAAGGCAAAAATAAATTAAATAAATAAAAAATAGGTATATATATTTATATATTATATTAACATAGTCAATCTCATAATCTATGTTTAAGCGATTGTCTTTTATATATTAACGTCCAAGTTCCCTACAACTAGATGCGAGTGAGTATTCTAGATTGTTGATATGTCTATACAGATTAAAATGTACATCGGAAGCTGTAAGTAAGTAATAGTAGAAGTTAACATGGGTTTTGTCGCTCGAATGTTTTCGCATTTGCTTATGTTGTTTTTTTTTTACATCAATGCCTGATCGATAGGAAGAACCTAGAATCTAGTGATTAATACTGGTACTTTCTGATCGTTTAAAAAGGTTCTATGTATTGACTATAAAGTTTAGTTATACGTGACAATCTCTGTAAACAGAATTTCGCGCTTGCAAGGCTTCTTGCTCGCTCTTTTGGCCTGGTTCTGGAAATTTGAGGTATGACGGAAATAGACGGAAAACAGAACGCACCTACTCAGGTACATAAAGCTACAGTTATATGACCGAATTCATATTTAGGAATAGATGCGGGTAGCTCTATCCCTATTCTGCACTGTGGGTCTAACAAATTCTAAAGTTAATCATAGGCAATATATATGTTTTACTTTATTACGGACGAATTGATACACATCTAGTTTTTATGTAAAGCCTTTTAAAATGAACCTATTTTTTAAATTTGCTTTAAATGGGTGTCTCTGCAGCTAAATTAACTTCAATATATATGCATACCTGTCTCCAGTTTAGACAATTTTATTATTAGCGTTGAAAGAGAAATTGGTTTGAGATCTTTTATTATCTTCATAAGATATTCATTTTTGTGTACTTATAATATCAATACACTTGCTTAAAGATCAGTTGAGATTTTATATTATCTTTATAAGATATAAATTTTTTAAAGCACAGTTTTTTTTAAAATCCTTTTTGTACTTATATACAACAATATCAAAACACTTTTTAAAGAGTAGTTAAGGGCCATGACTCGAACCGGATCCTCATTGTTCTGTTTTATCGACAATGATTACATACATCACTAGTCAAGCAATCTTCTTCTTTGCAAATAAGGAAACATGGTATAGATATTATATATTGTAGATTAGCTGGTATAAAAAATAAACCCTTGAGTGTAAATTGATTCAAAGACTGGTTTGCAGTTACATAAGGCTTACACTTGTGAGAAAATACAAGTAAATAAGATTTTAATGCCATTACTGAGTCATTTATCTGTTAAGATGTGCGGCACACTCATATAGGAGTTCCCCTAAGTCCATAATAAAATTGTCATTGCAGGAAACAAAAAAACCAAATTTCATTGCAATTCTTATAAGTTTATATAACTACAAAACGCAATTGTTTCTCGCCATTAACGACATATACTAACGAACAACTGGCGCACCTACGTCATTAGCAAGTCGTATTATACTTGTTAATTACTATTTAAATTGTCATAGTTGTGTTATGCTGCGCCCGATCATTCACAGTGCTTTTCCAACAAAGAGTTGAAAGCTAAGTTATCTACAGTTAGCTATGTGAGTAGTTTGTTCTGGGTGAAAACATGATTGTGTAAAATAAAACAGCTTAAGATTAACATCGGAAGTTGTGAGTGGTAGAAGTCAACATGGAATTTGTCGTATTTGTATAACCATAGAAATGCTAATGTTGTTATTGTTAAATCGAAACCTGATCGATAAGCAGGAAACAGAGTGCATTGATTTTTCTGGCCACTTACTGCGTTTTGTCGTATAAAAGGCTTCTGCGTGGCGGCATTCAAGTGCAGTTCTCAATAGTAAAATCTATGAACAAAATGTCATTGTTGCAAGGAAAAGTCTTGCTGATAGCTCTATTTGCTTGGATCACGCTGTTATCCCTTGCCTTGGCCGGGCCTGCACATTCATATTCGGATATAACGCGTGTCGTTAATCCCAATCCATATGTTTCAATCGGCTCCCGCAACTATCCAGGACAGCCCTATTGGCCAGGAGGACGTTAACGATACATTCCGTTCTAGTTTATTAGTAAATATGTTTAAGAATAGACGCTTTTATTAACTTTATAGTTTGTTTTCTATAAAAAAAAACTTTTTCTCTTCTTTTCATTTTTATTGTGTTTAATATTTGATTTATGATAATGCAATGTTTACTACAGCATTTGCTTATCTAAGCAAGTATTTCCGATTTTAGCATTCTCTTTAAGCGATGTGTTTATTTGACTTCTTTTACTTGACCGCAAAGATAGTATGATTGGAAGACAGGTTTTTTTTTTGACACATAAAAGATATATGTACCTTAAGTGCGGGCATATGTGATTCAATTAGCATTGACTCAGTCTGGCATAAAGATATGCAGCTTAGCTTCGCACTCGCCTGGGAGTTCCCCGCTGGCTATTGCACGACTCTTAACGCACCCACAAACCTCATTAGATTGTCATTTAGCAATTGTTAAGTACTTTTAAAGTGGCTACAATTTAATAAGCCAAATCATTCACAAAGCTATAAAAATTGACAGCTGAAACCTTAGATCACTATGAATTAAGACATATGTACATTGTATATCTATTTGGTTCTGAGTCAAAACGTGATTTCTGGTACCTAAAACCTGACCGGTCGCAAAGTGAATGACATTTTGATGGCACTACGAGATGTTACAGGTGAAGATCCCACGTCGCAGTCTGAGAGAAGAGGAGGTTGACAATGGCGCTACGTGCGCAGCATGCGTCGCGTGGCTCTGAAATTGTTCGAAGTATTGTTGTTGTTGTTGTCACACCAAAACCTGATCGATCAGGCGGCAGAATTTCAAGACACTTCTGACCACTTACTGGGCACAGTCATATAAAAGGGATCGACGCTACGACATCGAAGCGCAGTTCTCAATAGCGATCCCTAGAAGCAGAATGTCTTCTTTGCAAGGAAAGGGTTTATTGCTCGCCCTACTGGCCTGGTTCACACTGCTTGCCGTGGCCTTGGGCTGGCCGGCCTATGGATATCGCACGGAGCGCAACGGGCGCAGTTATACGGATATAGCTCGGGTTGTTAATCCCAATCAATATGCTTTTGTGGGCAGCCGTAACTATCCGGGACAGCCATTTTGGCCAGCAGGCCGCTAAAAGTAACCGTTCGTTTATTTGATAAAAACTTAAGCTTACAATATATTAAGTCAGTTTTAGTACAAGTAAATACATATATTTAGTTTTCTCACAATTCAAAGGTATTTTTGATTAGCCATTGCGCATAAGAGTATGCAATGAATTTTGCTTACATGTTTTGAGCTTGCTATTTTCATTTAATTAAGCTTACTTATATATAATTTATTTAATAAAACATTGGACTTTTAATTATGTATATTGAATTATAAATGTACTATTCAAAGCAACCTGAGTATTGAGTAAAATTGCCCATCGAAACTTGTCATAAGTAGTTGGCAACGCTGGCTGCTTGTTTGCTGTGAATGCCTAAAAGTATGCTGCACGATTTTCCCTAATTAATATAGGAGTTTTTGTAGCTAGCCGCTAAGTCAATTAAAACTGAAGTTAATGACAAACTTGCATTAAGGCATCGACGCCTGGCCCCGCCCAGTTTGGTGGCGTCAGAAGCTACTCAATTGCACGTGAAAGGCTCTCAGTTGGCGGACAACAAGTATAGGGACAGGACAGGTATAGCGCGAATAGCTCGCATCATCGTTAAAATTGTGCGCTCCAATGGTTAATATTGAATCAACATCCAATGCCATCTGGTGGATTAAAAATCCGAGTGCAGCGAAAGCGGTTGGCGGCGCTGGGCGTAAGGCGTCGCTAGGGTCGCGCTTTTGTCTGGATATGGCTGAATTACTGCGCAATATATCCTTGCAGGGCTATAACAAACTATTGGCATCGGAATTAACGTTGGCGGAGAGGTAAGCGACAGAGGAAACGGCAGCTCGATGCTGCTTTTGCTACACTGGCGTTACGTTGCTCATACGCAACGTGGACCCCATAGAAAATTTGCAGCTATGCTTCGTATCTATTGTCTTTCCGTACCTCTCTCCAGGCATTGCCGTCATCGTCATCGTCAACGTCTCGTTGCATCTCGTTCCGCTGTAGCATTGCATTAATTTTTTTTTTTTGCTTTCACATTTTTCATTTCCGTTTCCGTATTTGCCTCAAAACGCGCTCATGGCCGTGTGCTTTGTGCGTTTATCTTGGGCTCGTTTGTTTGCAGATTAATTTGGCTGCTGGTGCACACGACCACGTTCATTTCAATGGTGGCTGTGCTCTTGCTCACCTGGGAGCAATTTATTGCACAATACTTTGTCATCAATCTGAAGGATCCACTTTATCCTGTTGAAAATGTGCCATTTCCGGCTGTGTCAATATGCTCCAACAATCGCATTTCCATGCGGGCCGCTACCCGATACGCTCTTGAGCTGTAAGTAGCCTTAATCCCATCGACCCTTTCCTGGTTATCACACCCCGACATTGTCGAGCAGGCAAAGAAATGATCCATCTCCACGTGAATTGAAGTACTACTTGGACATGCTGACGTATCTACGCAAATTATATATACCCGGCGAGCGGGACTCAGACGTCGATGATTATGTTAATTTTCAAGCGTTTTTGGACATATTCGGCACCTGGAACAACGAAACCTTCTTCGATACGCGGCGTATTATGAGAATGGTGAGTTTGTCTTAACAATCCACGAAAGCTCGTTATGCTATATCATATGTTTTCCAGCTAGCGCCCAATTGCAGGGATTATATAATGAAATGCAGTCTGCGCAATGTGGACATACCTTGCTTTAGCGAGGCCGCTTTTCAGACCAGTCTGACCAGGTATGGACCCTGCTGCACTTTTAATGGCAAGAACGTGTAAGTCTTGTTGTCACCTTATATCACACTCTTTGATCAATCATTATATTGACTTAATCATTATGTAGACTTAAGAGACGCGATTTTAAGAATCGCTATGCTGATTCAGCTTTGGGCCTCACCGTCGTGCTCAATTCGAGTCATGCGGATTATATGGCGCCCATTTTAAATACAAATGGTTACGTGGTCATTATCCATGACGCTGACAATTATCCATCGATATCATCGTCAAATGCATTGGAAATGTTTCCAGGACAAAGGCAGGAAAGTTTTCTAAAGATTTTTGCACGTGTTATAGATACCGATAAAAATTTACACTCCTTTTCCCCATTTAATGTGAGCAATTGTGTTTAGTTTATATATTGATTTTTGTAATAGTTTCTCTTATTCTAGCGACGCTGTTATTTCCATAGCGAGTCGAATATGCGAATGAAGAACTCCGTCTACACGTTCCCCAACTGCATTACAAGATGTCGCATTAGCAGCATCATAGCGTTGTGCAACTGCCTGCCCTTCCAGTTGCCACTCGATCTAGTCGAGAACTTGGAAGGCGTCGTCTATTGTACGCTTAGTCATGTCACGTGCCTCGGCCAGTATCAATGTAAGTCCTGGACTCTAGTCAAGTAATCTCTTAACATCTTTCGAGAATTATTTTGCAGTTAAATGGAATAATGTGCTTACTGAGAGACTTAGAATTCCGGGTCTGGAGCGTGAAACCGAAGAAGCACTGTACTGTCCACAGTGTCTGCCTTCATGCAATGATGTTCAGTACAGGGTATCTATGAGTGAGCTACCCATTGATACCTATCTGGCCAACCTAAAACCTGATGAATACAATGACACACTGCTGGGCTCCGATTTATCCGTACTGCGAGTCTTTTTTGGGCAGCCGCATGCTCAGCTCTACATGAGATTATTGAACAACGAATGGTTCGAGATATTCAGTAAGTATTTGTGAATACATTAATACCCTTAATTATTTATTCATGTGTATTTGATTGTCTATCAGGCACCATTGGAAATATTTTGTCAATATTTATGGGATTTTCATTGGTGGCCATTTTTGAGGCTCTGTTCTTTTTCTGCAAGTACATTTATATGGGCTGCTGTCGAATAATAGATCATAGCAGAGCTAACAGTAAGGCAAAGATGTTGAATGCACGCCAGTTACATATATGCCCATAGTAAAAAGAAAAGAGCTGAAGAAAAAAGAGTTAAGTATTGAGAAAAATGCCTAGAAAATTATATTGATAATTATTAAATGTAATCCAGAATTACTGGATTCTTTATTCACAAAAAGCAAATTTTAAAAAATTATTGCACAGAAACTCTGGAAAATAAATACTTGAAATATAAAAGTTCGTATATCTATATTCACAATCAACACGTGGCTTCATTTGCCTGCTGCGTAATCCAGGCCACGGGGCATATTTGGGGAGGGTGCTGAGTTTTTTTAGACTGCCAGCAAGCCCAAGCCAAATCAAAAAGGACATGACCTGCTTCTGTCCTTGTTGCTACTTAGTGTCATTATGATGATTATGATGATGATGATGATGATGATGATGATGACGATGATGATGACGACGATGATGATGTTGCTGTTTCCGTTGGCTGACATTTAATGCGCATTTAACTAATTTCATTTTAAATTGTTGACAATTAAGGAAAATTGCCAAGACGAATCGAGAGCCTGGCTGAATAAACAGCCAACGGAGTGGGATTGGGACCAATGCTGAACACCACGTGCCATGTCGCAGTTAATTTGTTGGCAATAAGTTGAAACACGAGGCCTAATTACAACAACACGCACGACATGACTGCAAAATTTTCATTAAAACGGGCTGGCATCCAACCGCCACCCATCCCACTGCCAGGGACAATGCCAGGCAGGACATTTGTTGGAGGGCGCCTACAAAAAGGCGCGCACCGCGTAGACAGCCGCAACAGTTGCAATCCACAAACGGCTGAGTGAGTGCCAAACATGACAACAAATGCGGAGCAGGCACCGCGATTGCCACCCCAACGATTGGTTGTTGGACGCGCCGCCTGGTGGATACCCAAACCAAGGATTCACGCACCTGCGTCAGTCCCGCAAATGGCGGCTATTCGCGAAGAGGAACCAGCTACGCGAAAACTGTCATTTGCCGCGGCGTTAAAGGATTTGCTGCAAAACCTGTCATTTCATTGTTATGGCAAATTAGTGGAGCACGGTCGTCGCATTCAGGAGCGGTAAGCAGCACGGCCAAGGCTTAAAAGCCTTCGTTCCCCCCGCTCGGCAGTCCTTTCAATTAGCAAACTCTGCCGCAGATTCTTTTGGCTTATTTGCCACATAACTGCGCTGACCGTCCTAATTGCATTCGTATGGGGCACGTATAAGGACGCAACGGATGAGCTGGTGACCACCCTATACAATCCATTGTATCCCGTATGCCAAGTCGCCCTGCCCGCCGTTACAGTATGCACCCAGAATCGCATATCCAAGCGTGCCGTCTGGCAGTACGCACAGGAGCTGTGAGTTAAGTTTAAATGTGGTAAGCCCCTTAATAGGTATGCCTTCTCATTATCCATTCCAGCAGCGACAAGGATCCCAAGCAGCGAAATGCTAGTTACTTCTATAGTGAGCTTCATGCCTTTGGCATGTTCTACAGCCCCGAGGAGCTGGGCGACTATGAGCGCGTGCTGCGTTTTCAGGGCTTCTTGGATTCGGTGGATACCACGCCCTACGAATTGTTCTTTAATACAAGCAAACGTATGCGCATTCTGACGCCCAATTGCAGCGACATCTTTGTATCGTGTCGTTTGGCAGGCCGATCCTTCGATTGCCTGCAGGAATTTCCCGAAACGCTCTCGATCTATGGATTTTGTTGCACTTTCAATTCCGATGGAGAGTATGCAAATCTAAGCATCGAGTGCTAGATGTTGGGTATATGTTGTTGGCTTTTCACAGGTTTCTCAAGGACCACACGTATCATCAGCGCTTTTATGGATACGATATGGGTCTGGTGCTTACACTCAAATCTCCAAAAGACGATAATTTTTATAAGATGCATCATCTAGACGGTTTTTCGGTAATTAGCAAAGATAATATCCACACCATATTCTTTCAAATAGATTGATAGCTTTGGTAGATTATAAAAAATTAAGATTCTCGTTTATAGCAGCTAGTACAACATCTTAACTATTACATATAACTATTATCATCCAAGCAGATTGCCATCTACGAGCCCATGAACTATCCGGATCCTCAATCTGGAGGCGTTGCTGTACGTTATGTGCAGACAGGTCGTCGCACTCATCTGCCCGTGCGGCCCAAGATCTTTGAGACTGTGCCGGAAGCCCGACACATGAGTCCCGCTGTGGTGCGTATCATAGCCAGATGTCAATCATTGTCCAATCAATCAATAAACGTGTGCATAGCGTAAATGTCTCTTCTGGGATGAGATGCCGCACAACTTCACCAGTCGGTATACCTTCAGCAAATGCATCTCTGCCTGCCGCGCCCGCAGCATGTATAATTTGTGTGAGTGCCTGCCCTTTCAGATACCCAAGCATTACATTGGAGACGCCACGGGAGGCGTCTTCTGCACGCTCCAGCACATGGAGTGCCTCAGGCGCTATAAGTGTGAGTGGGCAGTGGCTGTGGCAGTTGTTCAAGTCGATTGAGTTTTTGGTATTATTTCAGTCAAATGGCTGAATGTCATCACCAGTCGCGCCAATGTGCCCGGCCTCGAGCATGAGTTGGAGGATGCGCTCTACTGTCCCGAATGTCTGCCCTCCTGCACTGAGATACGCTACAATGTTCGTGGCGCCGGAGCTCTGGCCCTCAACAGTCTGCATAGACCTATGACGTAAGCAGCAAGTATTGCAAAAAAAAAAAAACAAAAAAAGAAAGGGAAGTGGCTCAAAGAGGAATTTGCGTCATTTCATTTTAAAATCAATTTTCACCCGTTCTCTGTATTCCACTTTAAAAGTAAATTTGATCAAAATTCATTCTTTTAGGCTTGTCTGATAATTCAATGAGAAATTATCGAATATTTCTTGATGGTTTCAGCTTCAGACAAATGAAAATATTCAAAGTAATGACATTAAATTTGATGGCTCCCAAAACTCCACAGTTCCTACAGTTTCCATTACTGAAGTTTCGTGATTGAAAAAGCCTTCTTTTTATTTTGGTTTGGTTCATCTCTGTGCATGCTGCCCTGATGGGGTTACATTTACCCTGCGTCAGTCACTATCAATAAGTTTTTTTTTGCAGCAACAACAGCAGGAGGCACAGCAGTGGCATCAGCAGTGGCAGTGGCATGGCCAATAACAGTTATGGCCATGACAGCTCCGAATTGGCCGTTGTGCGTATTTACTTTGCCGAAACGCACATTCAATACTTTCGGCAGATTATTAAAAACGACTGGTATGAGATCTTCAGTGAGTCTGCTACATATTACAATTTTGCATAAATATACAAACATATGCCTACTATACATATATATGGATATGAATGCGACTGCTACTTCATTTCCAGGTACAATTGGCAACATCTGCGGTATCATAGCGGGCTTCTCATTGATTGGCATCTGCGAGCTGCTATTTTTCCTAGCCAAACAATTATGGCATGCATACAAAGCGGAACTGAAGTCGGAGCTCTGCCGTGCCCATGCCCATTCTCAGAGTCGAGCCCGATCCCGGACTCGGGCTAATGGCCGTGCAATGGCAACTCAGCATCAGGAACACCACCGGCAGCACCGGCAGCCAATGGAGCTCCTCATACTGCCGTAATTGAGCGAAAGGCCGTGCCAATTTTAAAGCTCACTGACTTTTATACAGTTCTCTGAACGCATTTATGGAGTGGAGTAGTGTACCATGTGTGTGTGTGTGTGTGTTTGTGTGTGCGCGTGTGTGTATATTGCTGTTGACCTGCGTAACAAATGTTAATTATCGCGCACTGAGCAGCTGCCAGCTGATTGTAGGCCGGGAGCACAACTCAAGTGCACTTACTTTGCATTGTCACATAAAAATAAACAGCACCAGGAGGCACTCGAACCAAGTCAGGGATGGGGCGGGGGCGGGTTGCGTTGTGGCACGAAAAGGTCCAGACGGTAACATTAGCGCCAACCATCTTGGACATTTGCCCACTGGCTGGCCGGCAGTTGGCAGTCGAAACAGTCGACAGTTATGGACCACAAAGTCCGGGAGTTGCCCAAACATTGAGAGCGCGTTTATCCTTGGCACATGGCCCGACTGGCACTTACAATCAAAATAAATTTTTATTTGCCATAGTTTGTGCAGAGATTGACAAAATGAGTAAACAAATGAAATGCAATCTGTACATATGTTCAATTTCTCAAATGGCAGGGGACTGCTTGCTTTTATTGTGTTTCAATATTTACCTAGTACTATTTTATCATATTAAATTGTTCGGTTAAATTAAAAATGATGATAAAATATGGTATATCATATACTTGTTTATTCATTATGAACTTCAAGCTAAAATATTTGATATAGTACGTTTTCGCTCTTAATTTAAGCAGCTGAAGCAAAGGACTTCATGGAATTTCAGTGCGTTTCATCTTAATGAAATTTTTGTGTGAGTTTTGACTTTGCCATTTATTTGCACATTCATTCGAAGGGCGAAAATGGCAAAGTCTATACCTAGTATAAACCCATACAAATTCTTTGCGCAGTTTCTGAAAATGGAAATGATTTCCGTTGAATTTTGTAAAGCAGTTGGTTTGTTTGTTTGTTTTGCCATGCATACAACTGCCTAAAAATTGCAAAAAATTTAAATGAACGCACTCGAGCAGCGTACCAAACGTTATTCCTAGATACGTAGCATTGTGCCAACACAGCAACCAAGGTAAACACTCGAAAGCGAGAAAATGTTTTAAAAAAAACAAGAAACAGAAAGAGAGGAAAACTTGCCTGGCTTCTATGAGAGGCGAACAGTTTTTCCACCCGTGTAGCGTATTATCGCACAATACAATATGTATATTGGATTATTTCGTTTGCGCGAGCTCCCCAGGCTCTGACATGACTGCCTGGACTACCTGATGCCATTGCCGGCCGCATCCTCACACACGCACACACACATGCGAATAGAGGGAGCCCGATAGATTCGCTTGGGCAACTGGCGTCTATGTGGGCGCTGGCATATCGCTATCAGTTGTTCTAGCTGCTTTTATAGCACTTCC